CGGAGTCCCAGCCATTTTCGGAAAGGAGCTGAGGCACCTGCTCGAACCACTGCACCACATTGCACGGTCGTGGGGCAGTCATCATGAAAAGGGCTTCTGTTTGGGTCTGCAAATGTTGCAGCGACGGGTCTCGGAGCCCACCCTGCCCTTGGGACCACAGAAACCCTATGAGGGTTTATAATTCATATACCTTGATAGGGTTTATAGTAGCTTATAGGCACATGGCCCCAGTTTGAGGGTTCATTTGGTCCCAAGAAAACATGCCTTGAGGGCTTTGGGCGGTAGGGTCTAGGGTTTAGGGTTTAAGGTTTTCGGGGTTAGGGGTTCGGGTTTAATTAGGGTTCAGGGTTTCGGGCTAGGGTTTAGGGTTTAGGGTTTAGGGTTTAGGGTTTAGGGTTTAGGGTTGAGGGTTGAGGGTTGAGGGTTGAGGGTTGAGGGTTGAGGGTTGAGGGTTGAGGGTTGAGGGTTGAGGGTTGAGGGTTGACATTGAGGGTTTAGGGTTGAGGGTTGAGGGTTTAGGGTTTAGGATTTAGGGTGTCTCAATGAATAATGCGCTAGTGCTGAAAGCACCCAGGCGCGCGCCCCGACCTGCATAAGCCCACCCCTCTACGGGTTTAGGGTTTTGTTCGCTCTGATCGTGCGTTTGTTATTTTTCTTTGATGGTTGGGTCTAATCAGTCTAGAAGCTCGGCCTCGATGCAGATATTTACCCTGAAGTTCGCAGCCCCTTGGCATTGCTCTCTGATTCGAGGGCTTCTGGGACCAAAAAGTGAGAGGTTTGGGATGGGGGTTGGCTGCCGCCTTCGCCCCTTGGCGATGCTGCGTCTTGGGGATCTGGATCACTTTCTTGCCTGAAGTCAGAGGTTTGGGAAGGCCTCCCAGACAAATTGTTCGACCGCTTGCCTGGACTGGCTCTGGGGCCTCTGGTCCACGAAACATCACGGCCGGAGGTGGGGCCCCTTCCAGACAGGCCCAGAAAGACCTCCAAAGAGAGGTACTCTGCGTTCTGCCCAAGGTTTGGTGTATCTCATTCTCGGGGCGACCTGACGGGTTTCTCGCCGGCGACCTGCCGGGTCCACCGCGCAGCCCGCAGCTGCCTGCGGGACTGGAGCTCCGTCGCCCGCCGAAAGGCTTCTGGCTCCAGAGCTACCTTGCCTGCCGGCTTCGGTGCGTTCGCCCTTCTCGACGGCCCGGGCTCACTCAGTTTAGGGTTTAGGGTTTAGGGTTTAGGGTTTAAGGTTTAGGGTTTAGGGTTTAGGGTTTAGGGGTTGAGAGCTCTGGAGCGCGCACCTTGGAAGACTCTGCGGGGCCAATGGCTTCAATGCGGCCCACGTGCTTGCTCCTCCCGAAGCCCTCCTTGTGGAGATTGCCTTAGAGCATCCACCGCACCCTTGTCTCTTGCGGTTTAGGGTTTAGGGTTTAGGGTTTAGGGCTGCGGGTTTAGGGTTTTAGGGTTTAGGTTTAGGGCTTGGGGTTTAGGGCTGAGGGCTTAGCGCTTATATAAGGCTTAGGGCCTAGCACTGGGGTTTAGGGTTTAGGGTTTTAGGGTTTAAATTTTACAGACTATGTCCTGGGCCCAAACCCAAGACCCAGCAGGGTTTAGGGTCCAGGGGGCCTTAGGCCTTAGGCCTTAGGCCTTATGCCTTAGGCCTTTGGCCTTAGCTTAGCTAGGCCTTAGGCCTCAGGCTGAGACCCTAACACCGGAAAGCGAGCTCCTGGCATAGGGCACGCGGCTGGAACTTGTAGCCGGCGCCGCAAGCGGGCCTCGTTTTACGTGCAGGTGCGATGAGACGGGCAGCGCCCGCGAATGGGACGACAGAAGAAAAATCTGTTCGTGGTTGTGGGTGTTGGGCTTAGGGTTTAGGGTTCAGGTTTTAGGGTTTGGGGTTTAGGGTTTAGGGTTTCGGGTTTAGGGTTTAGGGTTTAGGGTTTAGGAGGGGCCCCTTCAAGCGAGAGCATGGAGCATGGAGAAGTCAAAACCTTCACTGTGCACGACATGGGGACCTGCTTGGTAGCCCAGTAACCAGTCTTATGATAAGGTGTCACCCTTTTTTGGGTTGGCTATTTTATAAGGGAAACCAGGACCCAAGAAAAGGGTAAAGGGTTGTGAGACTGACAATGCAAAATGGTTTGGGGGTGTTGTGTTGGCCCATTGCCCGTCGCCCGTTCGCCCTTTCCCCGTGGCCACCAGCTGTCCATTGAAATGGGTTTAGGGTTTCAGGGTTTAGGGTTGAGGGTTTAGGCTTTAGGTTTTAGGCTTTAGGGTTGAGGGTTGAGGGTTGAGGGTCGAGGGTCGAGGGTTGAGGGTTGAGGGGTTTAGGATTCACGTGGGGCAGGGCATCTTCACCCCTGAAGGAAAAGAGCCACCAGCAGGGCCAGGCCTCACACAGAATCATCGACGAAGCCCATGCTGAAGCCGATCTGTCTGCCTACCAGCCATGTGAGTGCTACAGCAGGAGATGATCCAATCATGTTTCGCATCATGTCCATCAGAACCGAGAGGCTTGGGGCACCTTTTCTCGGATACTTCAAACGTGGTACCGGTCTTTGAATTACCTAACAGCGGCGGCGGCACCCATGGGGCGGCACGGTGACAAAATTTTGCCGAGTGCCGTAGCAACCAAAGGCAGCACGCGGGCCCTTCGCTGGCCCTGGTGATCTTAGGCCTTTGCTCTGCAAGGCGCTGCCTACAGGGGTTTACGATACCAGGGCTACCTTCTTGAATTCCTTATTTAGAAGGGAATCCTACTGTTTGGGGGTCTATATTCAGGGGTCCCTGATTATCGTAAACCCCCTAAGAGCTGCACGGCACAAGTGACAAAACATCGCCTATACGCCAATACCGAAGCTTATGCGGGACGAGCTGTACAAATTATTGGGGCGGCGCATGGCCACAATCTGGCCGTGCGTAAGCCCCCACATAAAACCGTGCCCGGGGGCCGAAGCCGCTGTGTTTTATAAATAGCTTTAGCTACTTGGCGGCTCACGGTACTGCTGAACCAACTATAACAACTGTACTTTATAACCATATTAAGGCATGAACCTCCAAGTAGGGTGCTGGAAACGCAGGGCTCTGCCCGTGCGAGGAACCGACTGACACTGAGGCAATCGAGAGAGAGAGGAGCGAACTCATCGCCAAAAACAGCCCTTTCTGTACACATGGCACAAGTGGCCCAGCCTGTGACTCCAACAGGTGGCAGGTCATCGACAGCCAGCCAGAGTGCAAAGGGCAATGCATGGAGTGCTGGAAACCAGGAGAGGCCAACTTGTACATCCTAAGGTGTGCCTGGTACACGCATGGTACACCCAGCCCAAGACCTCCTGGTTTCAGCCTCCGCGGAATGAATTCGGCGCCTCATCGCCGTCCAGGCACTCTCACTTCTTTACAGGAGCCTCTAGAGTCAGCCCATGCGGACAGTTAGGAAAGGCTCACGGATCCTCATCAGACACATCTGATGAGGAAGGCCAATTCCGCGGGGTGGTCTTGGCGCGGCGTAGTCTTTTTCTGTGAAACTCCTCATCACTGTCGCTGTCTTCATCAACCTCGAGGAAGGTGCGGCACACCTTCACATGGTGCTGGTCTGACGTCTGCTCCCGTGTGAGGTGCCGGCTCAGCTCAGCCAGCTTCTCGTCGAAGACGAAGCGTTGCTCGGCATCTGCACACACGTTCGGCGCGATTGAACCTCCGTTCATGCGGCGGTAGGCCCTCTTTTGGATCTGGAAGGCGGCCAGGAACTGGTCTTGGACCAGTTGCCACTTGTCTGACCTCACCACACACTGGTAATGCACCAGTCGCTGGCCGTCGAGTGAATCGTAGGCCTCAAGGTCTAAGTCCAGGTTTGCGGCGAAGCGGTTCACGAAAGCTGCGAAGTGAAACCTACCAGGGGGCATGCGGATCCAAGACCCGAGTGGCACCGGGTCGTCCTCCGTGCGCACGGTAACGTCGGGCTCTTGCGTGGAGCCAGCCGGCAGCGGCAGCAGAGGCGGGCCTCTTTTGCAGCTGTTCACCACAAGCACCGTGTACATGTTCGCATCGATGGCGCGCATCTCTGCCAGCCCAGGCCGGTTCAAGAAGTGCGTGACGTTAGACCGCGCGGACTCCAGGCAAATGGTGAGGTGAGTGGACATCCACTGGTCGAACCGGACTTGGGTCATGCTGAAGGCGGTCGTCATGTCCACGAACCCGGGCTCTCGCGTGCGGAGGATCATCAGGGAATCCGAGGGGACCCCGCTGATGGTGGAGAACATCAAGGTGGTGTCCTGTTGGGTCGGGCACGCTCGGTAGAGCTTCTGCCGACAGACGATCGGAGTCTTGGGAGGCGTGAGTGCAGGCATACCCAGGTCACCAAAGACCATGGTACAAAGCTGGAGAAGGGTCCAGGAGGCTCGGTGTTGAACGACAGCATCGCCTGGGGCCAGCTGCTCTACCACATCAAAGCCAAGAGGCGCTTGCAGCTCGAGCTGTCGCGTCTCGGGTCGTACCATGGACCTGCTGGGATCCTCCACATTCTGCATGGGAACGCCTTTGAAGCTGAACCTCACCAACTGACCACCCCAAGGGCACTCGCAGTAGGTCAGGCTCGAGCCTTTTGAGCAGCCACGCACGGCGGTGTCCCAGCCGTTTTCGGAAAGGAGCTGAGGCACCTGCTCGAACCACTGCACCACATTGCACGGTCGCCCCGCGGCGGTCATCGTGAAGAGGGGCAATGATCTGCATGTGTCGAGCTTCACTTTGGGTTTGCAAATGCTGCGACGGGTCTTGTGACAGGCGCGGCTATCCCTGCTACACTGCTACCCTAACATGCCTTGAGGCTTCAGGGGGTTCAGGGCTTTGGGTTTGGGGCAAGTTGCCCTGGAGTACACCTGCACCTTACCATTGACAAGGCCGCTGCTTGCAGGCACTCTTTCGGTCGGAACGTCGCCACAAGTCTTGGAGCTTTGCCATACGGCTTCTCAGATCGGAGCCCAACTACCCTTCAAAACCTGAGGACCTCTCCGCCCTTAGCGAAAGATCGGCTTGTCGAAAAGCTCCCTGGCGGCTTCTGCCCTGACGACGTCGTAGTACATGTGCTGCAGTGACTTCGCCTCAGTCGTGCCTCAAGCCCTTTGAACAACCCACGAGCTAGGGGTGAGGTACAACCTGCCTATTTGCAGAGTTTGGGGCTACAGGTAACACAGCAAAGAACCCTAAACCCTAAACTAAACAGCTTAAACCCTAAACCCTAAACCCTAAACCCTAAACCCTAAACCCTAAACCCTAAACCCTAAACCCTAAACCCTAAACCCTAAACCCAAACCCTAAACCCTAAACCCTACCACCCTCAGTCGGCCCTGCGGCCGTCAGGTACTCCTGCATGAGGAACTGCACTTCGCCAATCTGCTTCATGCCCTTCCCTTCCACCCACCTCAGTAGCCCCAGTTACCGTGGTATAGTAAGGGGAACCCTAAACCCTAAACCCTAAACCCTAAACCCTAAACCCCTTTTTTGGTTGGTTACTTTAAAAACGGAACGAAAAAAAAGGCCAAGGGGTACCACTTGGGCTACCAAGCCACAGGTTCACGAGGATGTTCGTCCGCTCCTAGGGTTTAGGGTTTGGGGTTTGGGGTTTAGGGTTTAGGGTTTAGGGTTTAGGGTTTAGGTTTTAGGCCTTAGGGTCTAGGGTTTAGGGCTTGGGGTTTAGGGCTTCAAAGTTTTTCGGGGCTTCAAAACTTTCTGAGGTCCACCTCATCTTTCAACTTCGTGTCTGCGAACTTGTTCTTCACGCGCACAATCTTGAACCGCTCCTCTCACCAGCAGGGTTTAGGGTTTAGGGTTTAGGGTTCAGGGTTCAGGGTTTAGGGTTTAGGGTTTAGGGTTTAGACAAAGGGGAACACCAGTCCGGCACAATCGTACCTGCTTTGTGCACGACAGGGTGTTGCGGGTTTAGGGTGCCCCGCTCAAAGTGAATACCCTACATCCTCATCGCTCTATGGGCATTTCCCGAAATAGGGGTACCCCTTTCTACCCGAAAAAAAACAGAACGGACCCAAAAAGGGTACCCCATTTTGGAAGCCCTCATATCTGCCTGTGCAATCATACTTGGAGGTTCAGGGTACTTCTTAACCAATTATAACCGTACTTATAACCCAAGTTGTAGCGCTCAAGGGACTTCTAAGTGGGTTACAAGTACAGTTATAGTCAGTTAATAAGTACCGTGAACCTAGAGTTTAGAGTGTGGGGCCTTGGGTGTGTAGAGAGATGTTCAGCAGAGGGGAGACTTGGCTACCCTGACCCACCTAGCAAGTGCTTACCCTTCTTCGTAGAAGCGTTCTGGCGTTTAGGGTCTAGGATTTAGGGTTTAGGGGTGTAGGGTTCTTTGGGTTTTGGGTTTTGGGGTTTAGGGTCGAACCCCTCCACCCCAAACCCGCCCCAGGCTCACCTGCAAGCTATGGAAGGCAATGGCCAGCGCGAAGGGGTCCGCTGCGTAGATGGTGGCGCGCAGGAAGTCGCACACGTATCCTCGATTCAACCCTAAACCCTAAACCCTAAACCCTAAACCCTAAACCCTCCAGCCGAAACTCACGAATTAGGGCTTACGGTTCAGGGTTCGGGGGGTGGCCTCAGCTCTCATATACCTGCGCCCCGACGAGTCCCGTGACAAGGCTGCCCCAAACCTACTGTCTAGCGGGTGGGCAAAAGTAGGGTTTAGGGTTTAGGGTTTAGGGTTAAATGTATCGTATTCTGAGGTCATCTGCAATAAAGGAAGGAGGGCTCAGTGGCTGTCAAAGCTCCCAAGTTGCATATACAAATCGAACCTTCCCTGAACCCAAGACCCTACACGCTCAACCCTAAACCCGAAACCCGAAACCCTAAACCCCAAACCCTACACCCTACACCCTAAACCCTAAACCCTAAACCCTAAACCCTAAACACAGCGCACCTCCCTGAATGAACGCGCAAAAGCGTCGTGCCAGTGGTTGCTCGGTCTTCTTCCCGGCATCGAAGTCCTTCGACCCTTCTAAACCCCAAACCCTAAACCCTAAACCCTAAACCCTAATAAATAGTAAACCCTAAACCCTGAACCTAAACCCTTAAAAAACCCTAAACCCTGAACATTACATGTAAACCCTAAACCCTGAACCCTGAACCCTGATAAACCTTAAACCCTACATCCTAGACCCTTATCAACCCCAAACCCCGATCAACCCCAAACCATTTAAACCCTAAACCCTAGACCGTAGGATTAGGGTTGGGGGCACGTGGATTGCGCCATCCCGAGGGTAGGTTTAGAGAAATTGTACAGGCTTTCTGTTCGGGGTCTTGTCGGGTTTTGGGACCCTAAACCCTAAACCCTAAACCCCAAACCCTAAACCCCAAACCCTAAACCCTAAACCCTAAACCCTAAACCTTTTTGCTTTTGCTGAAAGCTTCCTGGAAGCTGCTGGGCCTCCTGGGTGGGGACCTGGAGCCGGGGTTGGGGCTGCGCTGGCAGCATTCTTGACATCTCTCGGATGTCTTTCCTCATTTGGGTCTTTTGGTGCGTGAGCGTCATGCTTTTGGTTGGTCTTCTTCTTTTTTGCAGTGTGAAGGATGAAGGATAATTGCACGAGCTGCTCGCAATGAAATGCATACAACTTCTATTTGTCCTGGCCTTGAGGGTTTAAGGGTTAGGGTTTAGGAGTACAACTTCTATAACCCCTAAACCCTAAACCCTAAACCCTTAACCCTAAACCCTAAACCCTAAACCCTAAACCCTAAACCCTAAACCCTAAACCCTAAACCCTAAACCCTAAACCCTAAACCCTAAACCCTAAACCCTAAACCCTAAACCCTAAACCCTAAACCCTAAACCCAACCCTAAACCCTAAACCCTAAACCCTAAACCCTAAACCCTAAACCCAAACCCTAAACCCGAAATTGTAGGACGCGGAGTTACAGGCAAGCACAGGAGGCTTCAAAACTGCCAAGATCATCCCTTGTATTCTTACAACCCCTAAGTACCTCAGGGTTTAGGGTTTAGGGTTTAGGGTCTAGGGTTTAGGGGTTCAGGATTTAGGGTTTAGGGTTTGGGGTTTAGGGTTTAGGGGTTTCGGAATGAACCTGGCCCCTGCAGCACGTCCTTCTGGTAGTCCGTGCTGATTTTTGCCAGCGCTCGCTCCTACGCGCGGACGTCTGCCCTGACCCGGTTTTCGGTTTAGGGTTCAATTAGGGTTCAGGGTTTAGTTTAGGGTTTAGGGTTTAAGGTTTAGGGTTTAGGGTTTAGGGTTTGGGGTTTAGGGTTTAGGGTTTAGGGTTTAGGGTTTAGGGTTTAGGGTTTAGGGTTTAGGGTTTAGGGTTTAGGGTTTAGGGTTTAGGGTTTAGGGAAATCACCGTCGTCGGTTCGGAGTTGAAGGCCCCAAGAATATTGGCGATGTGGGGAGTGGTGCTCTGAGGGCATGACCCTCAACAACCTACATAAGGGCTTGGGGTTTAGGGCTTAGGGTTTAGGGTTTAGGGTTTAGGGCTTGGGGTTTAGGGTTTAGGGTTTGGGGTTTAGGGTTTAGGGTTTAGGGTTTAGGGTTTAGGGTTTGGGGTTTAGGGCGCCAACCCCAGAAGAGGCTACACTAGGAAGAACCAGCAAGACGTCCCTGCTCTTGACCGGGCGCAAGGATCCGAAACCCGCAAAAAACCCGCCAAAAACTACACAAACACTGAACCCTGAACCCTAAACCCTGAACCCTGAAACCCTAAACCCGAAACCCTAACCCTAAACCCTAAACCCTAAACCCTAAACCCTGAACCCTGAACCCTGAAACCCTGAAAGGGCGCCACAAAGGCGTCCTTGCTCTTGATGGGGGCCACCAGGAGCCCTAGGTGGGTTCCGCATTCCGCGCCAGGCTCGGGTTGCAGTTGGTGCAGAGAGGGGTCCTGGGTTTAGGGTTTAGGGTTTAGGGGTTTAGGGTTTAGGGTTTAGGGTTTAGGGTTTAGGGTTTAGGGTTTAGGGTTTAGAAGTTTAGAAGTTTAGAAGTTTAGGGTTTGGGGTTTAGAAAGTTTAGGGTTTAGGGTTTCGAAGTTTAGGGTTTAGGGTTTCGAAGTCTAGGGTTTAGGGTTTAGGGTTTAGGGCTTAGGGTTTAGGGTTTAGGGTTCAGGGTTTAGGGTTTAGAAGTTTAGGGTTTAGGGTTTAGAAGTTTAGGGTTTAGGGTTTGGAAGGGTTTAAGGTTTGGGCTTTAGGGTTTAGGGTTCCTACGTCGACTCGGGAAGTGTCTTTTTTTGCTTTTTTTTTGGGGGGGGGGGGGGGTTAAGGGGTTTTAAGGGGTCGTTTAAGGGGCTTAAGGGGTTTAACGGGTTTAAGGGGTTTAGGAGTGTAGGATTCGGGGGCGGGGCTTCGCCAGATTTTCCGGCAGGGTTTAGGGGATAGGAGATGGGAGGGGTTTTTTGGCTCAGGGTTTAGAGTCTGGGGTTTAAGGCCGAAGTCCTAAACCAAGGGAGTTGTGCTGGTCTGGGTTAGTTAGCGCTACGGAACTTCAAAAGTTTGATCTCGAAACCGGGTGGGCACTTCCGAGGGCACCCGGTAGGGCGAATTTAGGGTTTAAGGTTTAGGGTTTAGGGTTTAGGTTTAGGGTCTAGGGTTGAGGGTTTAGGGTCTAAGGTTGAGGGCTTAGGGTTTAGGGTTTAGGGTTTAGGGTTCAAGGTTTAGGGTTTAGGGTTTAGGGTTTAGGGTTTAGGGTTTAGGGTTTAGGGTCTAGGGTTTAGGGTTTAGGGTCTATGCTTTGGCACCCCCAAGAGTCCAGCACCAGCTTCGCGTCGAACCTCCGCAGGTCATTGTGGCTGATGTCGTTGAGTCCACGAACCATCTCACTGAGCTGCCTCAAGAAAAGGCCAGCAGACCTAAACCCTAAACCCTAAACCCCAAACCCATTGTAAACATTGAAAACCTAATCTTATGAATCCGAAATCCTAAACCTCACACCATAAACCCTAAGCCCGAAATAGCCAAACCTGGTGATAGGGAATGAGTGCTTCAGGAGGCTTCCCCACTTCCCTACTAAGACCTTGTAACCCTAAACCCTAAACCCTAAACCCTGAACCCTAAACCCTAAACCCTAACCCTCTAAGCCCCACACCCCTAGCTAACCCCTCGAAAAACCCCTCTAAACCCCTCTAAACCCCCGAAGCCCCTAGAGCCCCTAACCCCTAAACCCCCGAAACCCGAAACCCCAAACACCCCTACACCCTAAACCCTAAACCCTAAACCATAAACCCTAAACCCTAAACCCCGAAACCTAAACCCTGAGGCCACCTCTTGAAGTCTGCGCGCAACCAACTCGCGGAGGCGGCCAAGGCATCCACCGCCAACTCCTGGGGTTTAGGGTTTAGGGTTTAGGGTTAAGGTTTAGGGTTTAGGGTTTAGGGTTTAGGGTTCAGGGTTTAGGGTTTAGGGTCTAGGGTCTAGGGTTTAGGGTCTAGGGTTTAGGGTTGCTCTCTGTTTCTTTGTTTTGCGGCTTTGGGGGGTTCTTGGGGTTCTCAGGGCCCTCTCCCTAAACCCTCAACCCTCTCAGGGCTCTTGGGGTTCTGAAAACCTAGGGTTCGGGGCAGTTAGGGTGGAGTCTCCCACGATCCCGGGTTTTTAGGGTGTGTTTGGGGTTTAGGGCTACTTGATGGGCTCTTCTGGCCTTTTGGGTGTAGCATCGGTCAGCTGAACGCAACGGTCACCCCCAAGGCCACCCAATCACACCTCCCAGCGAGCCCGACCAGATCCAGCCCAACAGGGTTTAGGGTTTAGGGTTTAGGGTTTAGGGTTTAGGGTTTAGGGTTTAGGGTTTCGGGTTTCGGGTTTAGGGTTTAGGGTTTAGGGTTTAGGGTTTAGGGTTTAGGGTTTAGGGTTTAGGGTTTAGGGTTTAGGTTTTAGGGTTTAGGGTTTAGGGTTTAGGGTTTAGGGTTTAGGGTTTAGGGTTTAGGTTAGGGTTTAGGGTTTAGGGTTTAGGGTTTAGGGTTTAGGGTTTAGGGTTTAGGGTTTAGGGTTTAGGGTTTAGGGTTTAGGGTTTAGGGTTTAGGGTTTAGGGTTTAGGGTTTAGGGTTTAGGGTTTAGGGTTTAGGGTTTAGGATTTAGGGTTTAGGGTTTAGGGTTTAGGCTTAGGGTTTAGGGTTGCTTGGTGGGCTCTTCTGGCTTTAGGGTTGTGGGTGCTCTTCAATGCTTTAGGGCTTTCAAGGCTGGGTTTACCACTTTACCCCAAACCTAAACCCTAAACCTTAAACCCCTAAACCCTAAACCCCGAGACCCTACTCGACACCCAAAAAAACTAACCCCAAACCCTAAACCCCCAACCCTAAACCCTAAACCCTAAACCCTAAACCCTAGCCCCAAATCCCAAACCCCCAACCCTAAACCCCTAAAGCTTGCGCCGGGGGGCGGCGCTGCTGCAGAAGTGCTGCGCCACGGGCGGCTGCACCACCTCCCCAAAGGGTTTCAGGTTTAGGGTTTAGGGTTTCGGGTTTATGGGTGTAGAGTTTAGGGTTTAGGTTTTAGGGTTTAGGGTTAGGGTTTCGGGCTTATTGGTGTAGAGTTTAAGGTTTAGGGTTTAGGGTCTAGGGTTTAGGGTTTAGGGTTTAGGGTTTAAGGTTTAGGGGATAGGGTTAAGGGTTTAGGGTTTAGGGATTCTGGTTGCGGATGTATAAGGTATAGGGTCGATAAGGTGCACGGGGGCTTATGGGGCTTGAGATTTCGGGCTTGCGGGGCTCCTACGTAACGAGAATAGGTTTCTTTGCTTCTTTTGGGGGGGGTGGGGGGGGGGGGGTCGTTTACACAGTTTATAGCACTAAGCAGCGTAGAGTAAGTATCAGAAGGTGAAGTTGTTGATTCTGTAGGCTCCTGTGCTAAGCCCAAGCGGCGCGAGCCCTCGAACCCTCCGAACCCGAAACCCCAAATCCTCAACCCCGAACCTACGCCCCTCAACGTCCTCAACCCCCACAGCCCACAAGCTCCTAAAGCCCAAAACCCTAAGCCTTAGACCCTAAACCACCTCCCCGGATTGGGACGGAATCTGCGTCAGCTTCTCCATGCGTGCCCCGTCGTCCTCCTCCTTGTGTAGGATTTGGAGTTTGAAAAGAGGTTCAGGGGTCTGGGTATTTTTCTGTTCTTTTTTTTGGGTTCCAGGGTTTATTGTGTCGAAGGGTTTAGGGCAGGTGCCGGGTTCCCAGAGATTAACGAGGTAGGGGGCACCCTCCCCACCGAAACGAGAAACCCACACATAAAAAACCCAACCCCAAAGTGCACCCCTCCAGCCAAAGAAAAGCGACACCCCAAACCCTCAAACCAAGCCCACAACTGGACCCTAAATTTGAGAAAGAAAAACGGCCAATCCCCACACCCCAAACCCAACCCCGAAACTTCTGGATCCCAAAGAAGAAATTGCTAAACCCTACACCCTCAACCCCAAACCCTACGTAAACCCTAAACCCCAAACCCTAAGCCCCAAACCCTAAGCCCCAAACCCTAAGCCCCAAACCCTAAACCCAAGCCCCAAACCCTAAACCCCAAACCCTAAACCCCAAAACCCGCACCCTAAAACCTTAAACCCTGAACCCTAACCCTAAACCAACCCTAAACCCTAAACCTCATAAAACTCTCCTCGTAGGCCCGGCGTTGGTCCACGAACCAGGTGGCCAGGCGGGAGGCTTCCGCAGCTGCGAGGTCTCTCATCTCCTGGTTTTGGGTTTAGGGTTTAGGGTTTAGGGTTCAGGATTCAGGGTTTAGGGTTTAGGGTTTAGGGTTTAGGGTTTAGGGTTTAGGGTTTAGGGTTTAGGGTTTAGGGTCTAGGGTTTAGGGTTTACGGTTTAGGGTTTGGGGAGGGGGGGCGCTTGGAGGCTCATGGTACTTATTAACCAATTGTAGCTGTACTTTGAACCCCTTGCAAGCCCCTCAAGTGCCCTAATATGGTCATAAGTACAGCTGTACGTACAGTTATCATTGGCTGCTAAGTACCATGATCCTCCTAGCGGGGGGAGTGGCGGGGTTTAGGGTTTAGGGTCTCGGGTCTAGGCTCCCCAGCTCATAGGGGTTTCGGGTTTAGGGCTTAGGGTTTGGGGTTGAGGTTACCCTAAACCTTAAACCCTTCAAACCCTTAAACCGACAATCGTGGCCCTCAGCACATGACTGACTGAATTCGGATTTCGGCCGGCTCCTCGAAAATCCGGCCTGCATCATCCTCCAGGGATTTCACAGCGTCATGGGTCGGAGGTTTGTAGGTGCTGGGGGCTTCCGGGTATCCTAGAATAGAAGAGGTATGTACGTTTTTGCCGAATGAGGCTTATGGCACAGAGGTTAAACGGTAAAAACCCTGAAACCCTGACACCCTGAAGCCTAAAACCCTAAACCCTCTAAAACCCTCAAACCCTAAAACCCTACACCCTAAACCCTAAACCCTAAACCCTAAACCCTAAACCCTAAACCCTAAACCCTAAACCCTAAACCCGGCCTCCTTGCTGTCGGAGACTGCGTGATGGAGGCCCCGGTGCAGGTCGTGCAGCTTGTCCCGGAGTGCCGGGTCGTCGAGGCGCTGCTTCAGTGCATCCTCATGGGTTTAGGGTTTAGGGTTTAGGGTTTAGGGTTTAGGGTTTAGGGTTTAGGGTTTAGGGTTTAGGGTTTAGGGTTTAGGGTTTAGGGTTTAGGGTTTAGGGTTTAGGTCTTAGGGCTTAGGGCTTAGGGCTTGGGGCTTAGGGCTTAGGGCTTCGGGCTTAGGGTTTAGGGTTTGGGAGGGCTTAGAATTTAGGGCTTCGGGTTTAGGGTTTTACGAGAAGCGCCCTGAAGCACCTTAGCCCGAAGGTCCCAAAAACACGCTGGAGCCCCACATCTACACCCTAAACACTAAACCCTACACCCTAAACCCTAGACCCGAAACCCTAAACCCTAAACCCTAAACCCTAAACCCTAGACCCGAAACCCTAAACCCTAAACCCTAAACCCCAAACCCTAAACCCTAAACCCCCCCAAAACCAGGCCCCACCCAAGCGCGTCCTTCTCAGCCAGCAGCGCCTCTCGATGCTTCGCATCGCCGACCGCCGTCAGGCTACTGCCTTGATGTTAAAAGGTTTAGGGTTAAGGGTTAAGGGTTAAGGGTTTAGGGTTTAGGGTTTAGGTAGGGTTTAGGGTTTAGGGTTTAGGGTTTAGGGTTTGGGGTTTAGGGTTTACGGTTTAGGGTTTGGGGTTTGGGGTATCGGGTTAGGGTTGTGGCTTGAGGGTAAGGGCTGTAGACGGTGGCATAGTGGCTTCGTTTGGGTTTTCGCGCTTTGGTGCTTGGGGTTCGGTGCCTTGGGCTTGTAGGGTTTCGGGTGTCAGGTTAGGGTTGAGGGTTTGGGGTTTACGGTTTAGGGTTGGGGGTTGAGGGTTGAGGGTTGAGGTGTAAAGGTTTAAGGCTTAAGGCTTCTAAACTTATAAGCTTAGGGTGTCCCCATGAACTGTGAAGTGCCAGACCTATGCCATACGCAAGCTCGGCGTCGATGGCGGAGGACGTCGAACAGCACGTACATCACGCCGCAGATGGCCCAGATGAGATTCAGCAGGAGGACCCACTCCCTCGGCTCTTAGGGTTTAGGGTTTAGGGTTTAGCGTTTAGGGTTTAAGGTTTAGGGTTTAGGGTTTACATTCCACATTTTGGACGTGGTGGCAGATGGCAAAAACGGCAGGTGCGCTGGCTCGAGACCTCGTGGACCTAAAAGGTAGTTGGAACCATGAGCCCTTAGTATGGTCCCTAAACCCTAAACCCTAAACCCTAAACCCTAAACCCTAAACCCTGGTTACTCGGGATCCGAAGTATGGGCCCTGATTATGGAAAGTGCATATACGGGTTATTTCACAAGGGACCAGATTAAGGGCCCATACTGGGAACCTTAGAGAATCGGCGCATGCCCTCGGCCCTTCAGGGTTTAGGGTTTAGGGTTTAGGGTTTAGGGTTTAGGGTTTAGGGTTTAGGGTTTAGGGTTTAGGGTTTAGGGTTTAGGGCTTCGGGCTTCGCAGTGTGGAATGATGAACCGTGGAGCTGGAAGTGCTTTTGAGTAGAAGGCCGCTGCCACCCCGAAGGTTTGCCCTAAACCCTAAACCCTAAACCCTAAACCCCCTACACCCTAAACCGAACTTTACGATCACCTCCATAAGGAGGGCCCTGCGTTCAGCGGCTTGCTAGAGACTTGCCTGCCGGCACACTTTAGAGATAAGAAGGCGCGCGCCTCTTTTGTTTGGGTGCCCACGGCTCCTCAAGCGGCTGATATTATGACTACGCCACTCTGTGCTGAGGACCGGTGGCATCCTTCATATGCGAGGCGATCGAGCATCAGATTATCCCTTGTGGACAAGCGGTGGGCTGAAGCTCCCCCTCGGAGGCTTGCGGTTCGAAGGAAGGGACCCAGTGGGAAAGGCCGAGGCTGAAAATTCGGGGGCTGGCTGGTTCCCGATTCGACCCTAAGCGCTGACCCTAAAACCTAAACCCTTAACCCTAAACCCCAAACTCTAACCCTAAACCTGAAACTCTACTGGATCGAAAGCCCGTACCCCCAAGGCGCCAGACGCGTCCCAAGAACCCATCCCGCGAATCGCCGAGTAAGCCTGGCAGTACCCTAAACCTCTCAACCCTGAACTAGGCGAGGTTCAAACCCTAAACCCTAAACCCTAAACCCTAAACCCTTCAGAGGCCAGCCCACAGCAGCCCAGCGTCATTTTCACCTCCGGGCTCAAGTACTCCTCCATGTTTGCACGGTCCTTGTCTTCCTGCATCCGAACCATGCGCCGGATGACGAGCAGCACCTCGTCAGAACTACAGCGGGCTGAATGATTGTAATGGCACTTTTGGGGGGGGGGGGTATTATAGTATAACTATCGTGGAACCCCAAGAGGATGTAAGTATTCCGACCCCGAGATTAGGGTCTTTGTATGGCTTGCGGGGGCTTTCGGCTACTGAACTTCATGTTCCGGGTTGCTGGACTGCATGTAGGAACCACCCTAAACCCTAAACCCTACACCCTAGAGCCCCTGTGAGAACCACCGCAGGTGTTGGTGCGGATGCTTTCAATGTTGGAGCGTGTGTTTAAGGGTTTAGGGTTTAGGGTTTAGGGTTTGGGTTTAGGGTTTAGGGTTTAGTGTCTAGGGTTTAGGGTCTAGGGTTTTGGGTTTAGGGGTTCAGGGTTTAGGGTCTGGGCACTCCGGGCATACTCGCCGGGATTCCTACGTGGGATGCTCAGAGGGTTATAGGGTTCTTAAGGTCAAGGGGGTATATCCCAAGGTTCCCGCATACTCCCCACTACTCCCTAAGGCTCCCTTAGTCTTTTAAGGTTTCCTAGGTACCTACCCCCCCTTAAACTCCCCTCCCTTAAGAACCCTAAACCCTGAACCCTACACCCTAAACCCTAAACCCTAAACCCTAAACCCTAAACCCTACCCTATACAAGTCAGAGGGCCTCTTATGGCTTGTATCCCTCTGCGGGTGGGCACTTCGAGGATACTTCGCGGAGTTGAAGGTTTCGGGTTTAGGGCTTAGGGCGTTGAACGTAGAGTGTAACGTTTAGAAGCTTGGGGCTTGGGGTTTAACATTGAAAAGGCTTGGGGCTTGGGATTTAAGGCTTCAGGTTTAGAAGGCTTAGGGATTAAATTAGGGCTTGGTAACCCTAAACCCTAGAAACCCTAAAAGCCCGAAACCCCCCCCCCCCCCCCCAAACCCTGAAAAAACAACAACACCTCAAAAAACAAACAACAATTCAAAAAAAACAAAAACAACCTACAAACCCGAAGGCCCTACACCAGGTTTCGGGTTTAGGGTTTAGGGTTTAGGGTTTAGGGTTTAGGGTTTAGGGTTTGGGGTTTGGGGTTTGGGGTTTGGGGTTTAGGGTTTAGGGTTTAGGGTTTAGGGTTTCGGAAGAAGCTGCCTGAATGGAGACGACGATGGCGACCGGGCCCAGGGTGCAGCCGAGTGCCCACAACACCTAAGTAGCCATACTCATAACAAGGGTTTAGGGTTTAGGGTTTAGGGTTCAGGGTTTGGGGTTTAGGGTTTAGGGTTTAGGGTTTAGGGTTTAGGGTTTAGGGTTTAGGGTTTAGGGTTTAGGGTTTAGGGTTTAGGGTTTAGGGGAACAAGGTTGTCACCAGCGCTTCTTCCTAGACACCATGTAGCACGCGAACGCTGCCTCCATGTAGAACAGCTTGAGGAGCTGAACCTCGGAGAACGCTTAGTGGCGCACCCTAAGCCCTTAGCCCTGAACCCTAAACCCTAAACCCCAAACCCTAAACCCTAAACCCCAAACCCTAAACCCCAAACCCTAAACCCTAAACCCCAAACCCTAAACCCCAAACCCTAAACCCTAAACTCAGTGGTTAAGGTCAGAGGTCCGGAGCCGCGAGGGCTTCAGCACAAAAGCTGCCAGACAACCCTCAGTGTTTAGGGTTTAGGGTTTAGGGTTTAGGGTTTAGGGTTTAGGGTTTAGGGTTTAGGGTTTAGGGTTTAGGGTTTAGGGTTTAGGGTTTAGGGTTTAGGGTTTAGGGTTCAGGGCCACATCCTTCACCGCGCAGTCAAAGGCACCGCCGAGACTGTGGAGACAAGGGTGCAGAGTAAGACGAGGGCTGTGAACTCTCGATGGTGCAACCTCATGAAGACCTTGGCTGGGCAAGAACTGGGTTTAGGGTTTCGGGTTTAGGGTTTAGGGTTTAGGGCTTAGGGTTTAGGGCTTGGGGCTAAGGGTTGAGGGTTTAGGGTTTAGGGTTTAGGGTTCAGGGTTCAGGGTGTCGCTGGTGCGCGTGAAATAGGAGGTCATTGATCCTAATTACTGCCCACACCATCGCAAAAACGGGCCCCAGAGTTCAATCCTGACACGCTTGGCTCCTCGATCTTGAGCTGTCCATCAAGAATCGCCATGGCATCGTTGAAGTAAACGAGGCCACGAATGCTGCCCGTGGAGTTTGTGGAAACCACGCCGATAGCCTCTGTCTGGTCCAGGGCGTAAAGTATGGGCTAACATGACCCCCGCCCCAAGCCCTAAACCCTAAACCCTAAACCCCGAAGCCTAGTTTGGGCTCTTCGATACCACGATGCACTCCCGATGGTGAAGGAGGCTATGGAGGGTCTCGTACTTGAACCATTGGTTGTTTAGGGTTTAGGGTTTGGGGCTTAGGGGCTTAGGGGCTTTAGGATTCAAAGCTTCGGCAAGAACCCAAGTTAGGGTTTAGGGTTCTAGGTCTTCAAGGTTTAGGCGATGGCAGGGAACCAAGATGAGAACGACACATGGTTTGGTCGCTGTCAGTTGAGGTGCCCGTGCTGAGACAGCAAAAGCAAGGGTTTAGGGCTTAGGGCTTAGGGCTTAGGGCTTAAGACTTAGGGCTAAGGGCTTAGGGCTTAGGGCTTAGGGCTTAGGGCTTAGGGCTTAGGGCTTAGGGCTTAGGGCTTAGGGCACGTTAAACTGGAGAGAGGCGGCATTGTCGGTCAAGAAGGCGTCCTCCATGTCTACGCAGGAAGTGTTGATCATTAGGGCGGCAGCCAAGTCAACCCCGCGCACGTCATGCGCTTGCAGACGGCCTGACAGAGAAGCTGGAGGTGCAGGGTGTTTGGGGAGCCCTAAACCCTAAACCCTAAACCCCTTTCCTTCGAAACCCCCGAAACCATCCGGAAGGCTTCTGAGCCTGACTCCAACACGATGCCAACGCCTTGGTCCGCCTTGCCCATCATATCCACCTGACTCGCGTCCCTAAACCCTAAACCCTAAACCCTAAACCCTAAACCCCAAACCTAAACCCTAAACCCTAAACCCTAAACCCTAAACCCTAAATTGAATCAGCCCCATAGGGTTCAGGGCCCAGGGTTTAGGGTTTTGCACATAGCGACCTGGGTCATGTTGAGATTCGCCCCTTTGGCGGCAATGGCCATGTTGCAAGTGCTGCACGTGGTCCTGTCCATGCGAGTGGTGATGTTTCCGTCCATGATCAGCCCAGCACCCAAGATGTTGTGCATGGTGACATCACTCAGCTGCACCTCATCTCCCTAACAACGAACGAATAGAGGGTAATATTCAATTCCAGCGGATGTTGGGTAGTTGTTCACATCATTTTCGGCTGTGAACTAAAGGTCGTTCTGTACCGGAAAACCAAGGCACCTTTCCAATGCCGCGTGGGCCCAAAGTTTGCAGGCTGATGGCTGCGATCATGGCCTGACGAGGGTTTAGGGAGGAGGGAGGAGGGTTTAGGGTTTAGGGTTTAGGGTTTAGGGTTTAGGGTTTAGGGTTTAGGGTTCAGGGTTCAGGGTTCAGGGTTTAGGGTTTAGGGTTTAGGGTTTAGGGTTTAGGGTTTAGGGTTTAGGGTTTAAGGTTTAGGGTTTAGGGTTTAGGGTAGCCACGCCTCTCCACATTTTTACTCAACTCCCAAACGTGGCACAAAAGCAACCCACATGAAAAACACGCTCAGAAGGGCCGTCTACCAATTGCCCACCGTTCCGCGGGGACGCAGAGGTTTCCAAGACCCCGTTTAAGGCTTCGGGGGTTCAGGCAAAGCCCCTTAACCGAGGAATCGACCCGAAACCCTAAACCTTAACTCGCATTAAAGAGCCCTGACTATGGGCTAAGCTACATTCCTTAACAGAGCGGGGTCGGCGGTCATGCCTTGGCGACGAATGACATGCCCTGTGCCCCAACTCCTAAACCCCAAACCCCTAAACCCTATCCTAAACTCCGAAACCCTAAACCCTAAACTCCTAAACCCTAAACCCTAAATCCTAAACCCTAAACCCTAAACTCAAAGAAGGCCGAAACTTAAAAGCCACAAGCTCCCGACATATCCCTGAGCCCTAAACTCCTGAACGCCACTTTTAGGCCCAGAAGCCACAAGTTGACGCCTTCCGGGTTTAGGGTTTAGGGTTTAGGGAGGAGGGAGGAGGGTTTAGGGTTTAGGGTTTAGGGTTTAGGGTTTAGGGTTTTAGGGTTTTAGGGTTTTAGGGTTTTAGGGTTTAGGGTTTAGGGTTTAGGGTTTAGGGTTTAGGGTTTAGGGTTTAGGGTTTAGGGTTTAGGGTTTAGGGTTTAGGGTTCAGGGTGTAGGGTTTAGGGTTTAGGGTTTAGGGTTTAGGGTTTAGGGTTTAGGGTTTAGGGCACCATGGCCTTGTCAACTGTCACCTCTCGCATGTCCAACGTCCAGTGGGTCGAAGCTATGCTGACCTTGGCTGCTTCAGAGGTTTAGGGTTTAGGGTTTAGGGTTTAGGGTTGAGGGTTGAGGGTTGAGGGTTGAGGGTTAGGGTTTAGGGTTTAGGGTTTAGGGTTTAGGGTTTAGGGTTTAGGGTTTAGGGTTTAGGGTTTAGGGTTTAGGGTTAGGGTTATTAGGTTGGGACGTTCCCCCTTATACTAACAGTACTTAATGGGGATTATAGTACCCCCTATTATCATCCTCATTAAGGACTCATCATCATCATCGACTGCACTGAGCCCGAAGTCAGAATGGTCATTCGCAACAAAACCGAGCTAGGCAGAAGTAAGGGTTTCACTCCTTACATCACATATGTGGCCAGGCACACCGGGACATGGTGAGGCACTGACGGTGGTCAGGATGCAGCCAAATGCTGCAAGAAGACCGAAGCAAAAAAACAGACCGCAGTGGCTGCAGCCTGAACACCAGTGCACGACGCACTGTGCACTAGTCACTTCCTAGAATCTAGCAGGGTCTGCGCTGTATTCGCAAGGTAACCTGCAGGACGCGGGCCGTGAAACTCTTCAACCCCTGTACACTCTATGTGCTTCACTAGCAAATCTTCCAAATCATGGTCGCGCAGGCGAAGCAAGAGTCGTTTGTGAGTGTTCCCATACATCTTCTCACAGCGGCAAAGAAGGACAGCCAACTTTGCTGGCTTCGAGCCGGGCTTGCAGGAAGCGAGGAACTCGTCAAACTTGGCCTTGTCGTCTGGCTGCGCCGTCTGGGCTGCAACGAGAACGAGGGCGGCGGCATTGAACGTATCAGGCGGCCCCAGGCCATGCCCTTTGTTGCCTTTGGTTTGCGCAGTGTATTGAGCATAGGCCTGCTGGAGGTACTTGTAGTACTCAGAGGACACAGGCAACGGCAGGGAGCGGAAGGCAGCAGCCTGAGTCAAGCGCAGCTGCTGCTCAACTACCACAGCCATCTTCAGAGCATGCTCTGCGATAGCAGTAGCTTCCTTGCCAGCGGTGACAACCCTGACTTTGCTGGGACCTTCTTCCCGTGCAGCAGCAGCAGAGGGCGCGGGTGGGGCACCGAAGACTTGGTGGAACGCAGTGTCCATGGCAACCCGTGTGCTAGAGCCACACTTCAAGGTCGGGAGGCAGATGCCGCTGCAAATGGTCTTGAGCCAAGACGATGTCATCAAAGTCCAGCTGGCAGAGCACGCACTGATAGGGAGGCAGGCTGAGGTGCTCGTGTACCACCACGCTGCCCGACCGGGCCGGACAAATACCACGCTCAAATGAGCTGGCAAGGTGTTTGGCAGCAATCCATTTACTCGCAAAGAAAGATCTACAAAGAAGACACTGATTGGACACCGTAAGAACATATGCCAGCTTACGCTTGCCATGCTCGGGCCGGCCAGATTTAACCTGATGTAGAACCAGTGCTTGGTTGGTACTGAAGCAAGCGCCACATTCCAACCCTGACGAGGGGTCAATGATGCGACAGACGTGTGGCTTTTCAGGCACTGCATCTGCCCTGGGGAGAGGCTCGTAGCCAGGTGGAGGGATGGCAATAGAGCACCTGGCCGCAAGGAGAATGGCAGGGTCAGCGCGCAAGAACGCGTCTCGAATATCGGGGTCCGTGAACAAGACCAGCGGATTGGACTGCACAGCACCGATGTACGACTCCAGAGGAGTGAGAGCAGCAAGAGCGCACAGGTCTGCGCAAAGCAGCTCAACATACTTGTGCTGGGTGCCAGCATTTGGTTTACTATGGCCCCAACAAGGCTCTCCAAACATGCTACCCAACAGGCAAACAGAACGTTCAGGGTGCTTAACCACTTGCTGCCAAAGACGAAGTCGTTGCACCTGCACGGCAGAGCTGGGGGGGTGACACTGAAGCATGCGAAGTGTTGCTGCATTGGTGAGCGACTTGAAGTGCTGAGGATGCGAGCGATCACAAGCCCTCCCCAAGAGCACCTTACGAGCGAGAAGGGCAGCTTGAGAATCAAGCGCATTTTCCATACCTTTGGGCAAAACAAAGGAACAGAGGCCGGAAATGAGGGCACCGATGACCATGCTATTGAAAACCAAACCCTTCCACCTATTGTTACGAGTAGATCTCCAAAAACCACCCAAGATAGCATAAGCAGCTCTGGCTGCATGCAAACGGAGTCGTTGTTCTTCCGCCAGTGCGCCGTTGTACTGAAGCCTGGGGCCCAAGTAGCGAGCCAAACGAACGACTTTGCCAGGAATGGGCAAAGCAAGGCCATAAGCAGCACGCATATGCTGCCGGGAACCACGCCCTGCAAACCTGAGCAGGCTTTCTTGCTTTTCTGTGTTTTGCACATCCACAGGGAGATGCGCTTGAGCACGCAGGGCGTGTTGGACACTTGGACCACTGTCAGTGATAATGCCACAGAGCCAAGGGCAATGAACGTGGAGAGGAGGTCCGACATGCAGAATGGCAAACCGGTCAACAGCTTGATGGTACACACCGAGAAACCACTCACAAGCGATGGAGTCACCGGGGAGGGTGCCCGACCCAATGCCAAGGACCAACTGGCCATCAGCGCACTGCAAGAACAAGGTGGCATCTGCAAGACGCTGCTGGAGGATCTGAGTGGTCCACTTGTCAGGCGACGCTGCCTGGACAAACTGCAACAACGCGGCATGTGAAGGTGAAGCAAAAGCATTAGCAGCGTCAAAGAAATCTGTGCAACGACTGCAACCTGCCAGATCCAAGCGGTGACACAACACGGACTGTTGCATAATGGCATGTTCTCTGCGGCGCCCTTTCGCATAGCCATAGGCATACGGCCTATTGACCTGAAAGCCAGCTTGTCGCCAGACATGCAAGAAAAAGCGCTTGCTGAAGGAGTCCAAGCCATGCAACAGCCGCTGACCGGCGCAACCCGATTTACCATTATGCTTGCCGATGGTGAACGCAGAGGTGGCATGCCAAACCAAGGGTGTGCAACCGCGAGCTCGAATGCACACAAGGAGCCAAAAAATGCAACGACGAGTGGATGGAGCCACCACAGGGGGCGGCGAAGCACCAAGGCCCACTTTCTGCTTAGTGGCAAAACGCCCAGGGTAGAAGAGCATGCGCCAAACACCTGCGGGAAAGGACCAACTAGGAGGAGCTTTGCGGAGTTTGCAGCACCGGAAAAGGTGACCAATGGACGACAAGTCGGCAGCAGCATTGGTAAGGTCACATGCACGCAGACGGCAAGGCAAGGGATCACAACGCTGTTGCAACACAGTTTGCCAGTCCCTGGGAGCAGCTGAGCAACCACCATCAGCACCAGGGCGTCGCAAGTACGAAGTCCACTCATCTGTGCCACAACAAGCGGAGGGCGCAGAAAACAGGCGCCTCTTTGGGCCAAGCCGCCTGCCCGAAAGAAGCCTGGACAACTTCCAACAGGTTGCGAAATCACGCGCCTGCCACGCAAAATGCAGCTCATGGACACGCTGGCCTCGCACACGATTGCGGTCACGTCGACACAAGCGCTTGACTGATTTGTCCGCCAACCGACAAGCAAGCTGCAACCTGGCCAGTTTGGCATGCCCACGCAGAGCGCCCAGACAAGGGTGACAAACACAAGCCATATGCTGCAAGGATGGACCGTCCAGCCACGCAACCACAGAAGGCAGCCAAGGGAGAGGAGGACAAGCAGTGCAGAAAAGCCGAAACGCTCGCAGGTCTCGTCGAGCCTGCACACGACATTGCAGCGCACGTTGTGTGTCTGAAGGTTTCTGCAACCTAGTAATCTCGCGAGTAAAGAAGCGAGCAGCAACATCTCGAACACAACCACGCAGAGCCTCATACAGCACATCAGGATTGTGGTGGCAAGCCAAATGCTCTGGATCCAGATGCCACAGTTTGGACTCAACCTCTGAGACGAACTCATGTCTGCGTTCGCCATAGATAACGCAACGGTTGAGGGCATCATGGTCCCAAAGTACACGCCTGGAGGCAGGCTGCCCAGTAAAGTGCAAACCAAGAGGCAAGCAAGCAACAACAGGCCGATGGTCCCTTGGGGAGTTGGTGTTGATGAGCTGCAGTGCGTCACCTGCACGATACCACACTTCGCACTTTGAGGTCGCGGCACGCAACTCAACTGGGCAACAAATGTAGTCAATGCGACTGCTAAAGGTGCCTGAGTTGTGAAAGAAGGTGTGACCCGCATTGAAAAAGGTGTTGATGGCACTAAGACCGTGCAGCCGAAGCATGCTGGCAAGCTGTGACCCATTATAGTTCTCACGGTCAGGCTGGCAGGGCCCCACATGTGAATCAGGTAAGCCCGTGAGGCCGGCAAGAGGGTCACAACGCACACCCAGCTTGCCGTTTGCATCAAGCAGGAGAAGGGGCGTACAACGCGCCGGTAAGCGCGAGAGCAAGCCACACAACACGCGCCAGAATGTGTTAACCCCAGCCTGGTCTTTCTGACACTGTGGCTCACAAGGCGCATATCCAACAACCACGGCAACATCAACGCGCGGAGTTTTGAATCGCACCATGCCCAAGCGACCACGTACAGACTCAGGAGGCACCCACACTTCCCGAATGCTGGAAGCAGGAAGCGCACGCTTGCTCGCGCAAAGAGCAACGCCAGTAGGCCGACCAGCCTTACCAGGCGCGCGGCCCCAGTGAAAAACATGAAATCCATCTTGGGAGGTTTGCTCAACGGGCAAGGTGGTGGTGCACTGAGTACCCTGGAGGCCCACAAGGTGGCAGCTACGAAGCTGGCCAAGAATGTCATGGAAACGACCGCATTGTCGACAAGATAGAGGGTTGTAGCTGCAGACCCTGGTGAGTCGGAAGCGATGGGCATCGCCCTGGCCATGTCTACGCGAGGAGGCGTCCGTGGCTCAAGACCTAAAGCAACGAGAAGGGGTGCACGGTATCACTAGGCCTGAGCAAGAAGTGCTCTCATTAAGGACTGCTAGTATAAAGGGGAACATCCCAAGTTAGGGTTTAGGGTTAGGCCTTACCTGAAGGCTCAGAGAAAATCGAAGGTCAACAAGCTATCAGGACAATCCTCGATTTAGGGTACCTATCACCCTAGACTCTAAACCCTCAACCCTATCATCCCATCTTGAGCTCATAGGCCCCTGGCAATGAGGATCTATAACAACAATTAGAATAGCAATAAGAATAAGAATAACAATAACACTAACACTAACAATAACAATAACAGTAACAATAACAATAACAGGAACAATAACAGCAACAATAACAATAACAGTAACAATAATAATAATAATAATAATAATAATAATAATAATAATAATAATAATAATAATAATAATAATGACAATAATCATAATAAGAAGAAGAAGAATAGCAATAATAAAAATAGTAATAATAATAATAGCAATAATAATAATAATAGTAGTAATAATAACAATTATTATAATTATAATGATAATGATAATAAAGCACCCCTGATTTTCGAAATTGTCTGTTGGATACGATCCTTTTGGGGGGAACAGAACACACGATTCAGGGAGCAAAGGAAGAACCGGACAAGTGAAAAGGGATGTTTGAGGTTTATAACTAGGTTTCAGAGATGTTCTATATAAGCTGGTTTTAACAACCCTAAACCCTAAACCCTAAACCCTAAACCCTAAACCCTAAAACCCTAAACCCTAAACCCTAAACCCTAAAACCTTTGGGCTGCCCAAGTCCGCGACGGCGTTCCAGACGTCTCGAAGGCTCACGTTGCGCAAGGCCACGTCGACCAGGGGACCTGGGAGAAACCCCCCAAGGGGGGTTTAGGGTTTAGGGTTTAGGGTTTAGGGTTTAGGGTTTAGGGTTTAGGGTTTAGGGTGTAGGGTGTAGGGTGTAGGGTGTAGGGTGTAGGGTGTAGGGTGTAGGGTGTAGGGTGTAGGGTGTAGGGTTTGAGGTTTGGGGCTTGGGGTGCAGGGTTTGGGGTTTGGGGCTTGGGGTTTAGGGTTTGGGGCTTGGGGCTTGGCGTTTGGGGCTTGGCGTTTGAGGCTTGGCGTTTGAGGCTTGGGTTTGGGTTTGGGGCTTGGGGTCTGGGGCAGAGACAGAGACAGAGACAGAGACGGAGACAGAGACACAGACAGAGACAGAGACAGAGACAGAGACAGAGAGAGGGAGGGCGAGAGGGAGGGAGGAGACAAGGGAGGTCGAGAGAGTTGCAGGGTTTTGCCTAAATGGGGCCCAAGCCAGAACCCCACCAACGACCCTGCCGGTGCCGAGGTGCCCTCATCGACCAACTCTTCAGAGGGCTCATTGGAGACAGAGAGGAACGGGGAGTGGAGCATAGAGGCTTGCCTTCGTGTTTTAGCACTTAGAAAAATGTCTGAGTTGCGGGCTCCCGGGTCTTCTTCAAGCATCATGCATATTCACCTTGCTAAACCCTACGCCCTAAACCTTGAACCCTGAGCCCTAAACCCAAAACTCAGTCCTCTAGGACATAGCATGCACCTCCATGACATAAGTCCGAGTGGCACGTCCCGCAGGTCCACTCGCACCCCCTCGCTCTCAGAGAGGCGCAGGGCCGTGCGCACGACGGAGCCCGTCAGCGCCAGCGTGAAGTTCCTGGTCTTCCTGGGTTGGCCTTTCAACCCTCTGAAAGACATTTATATATAAATGCGCTATATACATATATATATGTATATACCTTATAAACCAAAAAAAGGAAAAATAGAAAATGTCCCGAAAATCAACCTAGCTTCTGGCTTTGCACGCAAGCACCGGCGCAGGGGCCCAGGTAAGAGTTCTGCACGTTCAGCGATCCCTCCCCTTGCGCGGTGAGTCGGTAGGGGCCTGTCAGGCTGCAGCTCGTGATGTCCCATCGTCCCCGGCTCATCTCCGCACGGCCGCGCACTGCCTCCAGCTGGGCGTGCTGCAGGACGGCCGAAGACCGAGCCCGCAAGTCGAAGTCGAGGCAAGGGTCCGGTCCTCTATACTCCCCTTTGAAATTTTAATTAAAAATATTATGTCTAATCTCCTCTTGGGTTTCATATAAACAAAAATAGATAATGATTCTCAAGGGGGATGTAGTCCTTGACAAGGCCCAAGGTAGGAGTGCCGCACGCTGAGCTGGCTGCCGATTCCGCCGAAGGCGAGCTTGTAGCTGCCCGTGATGTTCGAGTCCGCGACGCTGAGGATGGATTCGGCTTGCGACAGTCTTACCGTCAGGTTGTTGAGGCTGGACCTTTCGACTGTGAGGGCACGGGCAGAACTCTCAAACATCGCACTGGCAAAGCTTGAGTTCACCATCGAGACCACGGGGAGGGGGGCATACAGCTCGTACCCTTCCACTTCAAGCAGATCTGCTCTGGGAGGGTTTGCCTCCACCAGCTGGTAGTCGCAGAGGTAGTAAGGGCAACTTTGAAGCTTCACCTTTTCGAGCTCCAAGCTTCGGAGTGTGAGATGAGTCCCGGCCGCGTGATATAAGAAGAGATCCCGAAGCTTCGCCCCTGCCTGGCCCTGCAGCTCCAGATTTGCCCAGGCGGGAACCAGGTAGTTGCCTTGATGAACCTTGGAGGCGCACTACGTTTAGGGCTTCCGGTTTTGTTTTCCTGCCTGCCGCAACCTTTTTCTCTTTTTTTTTGTGTTGTTTTTGTGGGGAGGGGAGGGGGAGGGGGGATAGGAGTTTGGGGTTTTGGGGTTTAGGGGCTTGGCGGCTTAGGGGTCAATGTAGAAGGGGGGACTGGGGTTGAAAAATCCCCCCCGAGGCACGCCAGCTTGGAGAATGACCTTCTGAGGCGTCGTGCTATTTGGGACGAAGGTCAAATTGGCCAGCAAGTCTGTCAAGTTAAAGTACACCTCGTCAGTCCTGAAGCAGGGGGGGGGAGGGGGGCGGTGGAGAGGCGCCGAAGACCCTAGAGACCCAAAAAGGACGCAGACTGCCCCTAAACACCAGAACCCCCTGAACCCAACGAAGGCTTCGGGGGGGGGTGGAGGTCCCGTCTATAGAAGCACCTCCCTAAACCCTATAAGCCCTAAACCCTAAACCCTAAACCCTAAACCCGACGCCCGAAACCTCCAACCCGAAGCCTCGGAGCATAACTGAAAACCCTAAACCGCAAAACCACGGAAGGAGCCCCAAAACCCTGAAAAAACAAAACCATAAAGGACCTGCACAAGCCTATAATATAGGGGCCTGAGTAGTTAGAATAGGGTTTTGGGGGGGGGGGGGGGGGTTATTGTCGCGTACAATTGTTGAGGGAGCATAAGGGAACGCTGTTATGAATTCTTCCGACCCCTCGACTAAGGTTTATACTAGGGTGCAATTCTTTTGAGGCTCATTGGACCCGTACAGGGGAGCCGCCCAGTGAACGCGTCTTCTTAGCAAGCAAGCAAGCAAGCAAGCAAGCAAGCAAGCAAGATCACTCGGGTTCAGGGTTTTCGGGTGTAGGGGTGCAGGGGTGTTAGAGGTTTTTGCGGGGGATGTTTCTCCGAATATCATCATGATTTCGATTCTCATAAACCTGCTTTTCCTTGGGGTCGAAGCCCTAAACCCCAAACCCCAAACCCTTAACCCTAAACCCTAAACCCTAAACCCTAAACCCTAAACCTAAACCCTAAACCTGAACCCTAAACCCTAAACCCTAAACCCTAAACCCTAAACCCTAAACCCCTCATTGCAAGGGAAAGAGTCGGCTTCGCCATGCCTCTCTGTGTCTCCAGCTCCAGGGCCGAGCCGGCGAGTTCAGGGCTGCGGTGGGCCCACGCCGACGCCGCACTCAGGAGGTGGAGGAGCAGCATGGCCTCTTGGGGGGCAGGGTTTAGGGTTTAGGGTTTAGGGTTTAGGGTTTAGGGTTTAGGGTTTAGGGTTCAGGGTTTAGGGTTTAGGGTTTTAGGGTTTAGGGTTTTAGGGTTTAGGGCTTCGGGTTTAAGGAGAGGTTGCCCCACCCAAAACCTCTATGACCTGCTGTGCTGCAGAAACCATGCAACTCCTGCCAATATGGCTTGGCTTTGCCGTTGTTACTGGGGGGGGGGGGGGGGGGACGGGGACCCAGTTGCCATGGTGTCAGTACAAGCCCTTGACATTGCCCGGCGTCTTAGTGGATTGACAAGCTTGCTTGTGAAGCGAAACGGAAGCTCATGGGTTTTAAATATTTTTGGGCTTGGTTGGGTTGGCTTCGCGATTCAAACGCGTCTTCACCCGGCTTTTGGTAACATGGCTTGGCTTTGGCTTGGTTTGTTGTAGCAAAGGGGTTGGCAGGGGCGCATGTGCGAAGACGCGCAGCCTCCGCACTCCAAATCCTGTGGCGAGTGCGGGAGAACCGTCCTGCTGGACCAAAACTTTGTGGTCCCTTTTTGACTATCTGCGGGCTGCCCAAAAGGACCATAGTTTAGAGGACTGCCCATAAGTTGAAGAGCAGGCTCCCGCCCACGCGTCTTGTAGGTGTTGGCGGCATCAAGCTGCTTAGGGCTTGGGTTTAGGAAGTGTTGGGGGGTGTAGAACCTGCATAAACACCCGGAACCCCACACCACCACGCCTCCGGCGCATCATTTTAGCAGCAGGCACATGGAATCATGCGTTGCGCAGGCACACGACTGTTGGTCTTGGGCCAAACCCGTAATCATCGGACATGCGCAGGAGTGGGTTTCGGGTTTACGGATCAATCAGGGTTTAAAGGTGAAATCGGACTCATTTGGCTACCAAAGGCTTTGATTACTGGCGAAGTAAGGCATCAAGGCCGAAATGCTAGGTTGGGTTTAGGCTTGCGGCTTGGCTAAACCTCAAACCCCTAAACCCTTCAACCCTCAAAAAACCCTAAACAAATGGAAAAACAATGAAAACATGCCCAAACTAAACCTGAACCCCAGAAACCCTAAAGCCCCAATAAGGAACCCACACATGAAAGTAAAAACTACACACCCTAAAGCACTTCAAAAACCCTTAAAACCCATCACAGAAAACAACCCTAACAGCGCTAAACAACCCTCAAACCACCTAAAGAAAACCATGAAAAACCTTTAACAACCCAAAAATAGCTAAGAAGCCTGAAAACACCCAAACCCTTAAATGCCAAAAGCTTATCACCCCAAAACACCCAAAAAAACAACCTAAAACCTTCCCCCCCCCCCCCCCTCCGAAAAAGACATAATAAACTAAAAAATCCAAAAAAACAATAATAAATGAAACCACGCAGAAACAAAACAAAACAAAGCAAATTGAAACTAAGAAACCTGAAAACCAAAACAATCTCTTAACAGCATCCTTCAAGTCCGAAACGCTAGGGGGGGTCGCCACCCACTGGATTGCATCGGCAGCTCCTTGGGGGAACTGAACCCTAAACCCTAAACCCTAAACCCTAACCCTAAACCTAAACCCTAAACGCGCCTTGGGGGACCTGGTTGGCTTCCACTTCTTCGGCAGACTCCTGGCTCCACGCAACGATTTGTGAGGGTCGGGTTTAGGGTTTTAGGGCTCAGGGTTCAGTTTTAGGGTTTAGGGTTTAAGGTTTAGGGTTAGGGGGTTTAGGGTTTAGGGTTTAGGGTTTAGGGTTTAGGGTTTTGGGTTTTGGGTTTTGGGGGGGGAGCGTTTGGGTTCGAATAGGAGGTTCTTGGCTTTAGGGGCGTCTAAGTAAGAGTTTTGGGTTTGCATCCTGATCTTGGAAGTCAGCTGGCACTCGCCCTACCTGCACCCTAAACCCTAAACCCTAAACCCTAAACCCTAAACCCCCTAAAAACCCTAAACCCTAAACCAATCCCATCCCCTGGACCTTCGAACCTACAGCCTAAACACAGGTCCGCACCAGACCCTAAAGGCACCAAGACCCTAAAGGCACCAGCCTGCCAAGGCGCAGCAGCGGCGGCGGCCCTAAACCCCTAAACCCTAAACCCTAAACCCCAAACCCTAAACCCCAAACCCCAAAACCCTAAACCCAAACCCTAAACCCTGAACTGTAGCTCTTCCCAGGGCTTTTGGGGGGGAGGGGGGGGGGGGGGGGGGGAGGGGGGGTAAGGCTGCGGCTCAAACACGGGAACATAAGAGCATCATAGCATAACTATATATTTGATATGACCATATATAATAACAATAGTAACAATCGTAATCGTATTAAAATAATAACGATAATAACAATAATCGAAATAGTAAGAATAATAATTGGTAATGATATTATTACTACCAATAAGAATGCCAATAGTACTAATAACAATAAAAGTAGCAATCATACGAACTTTCTTATTAGTACTATGGCAATAAGAATAGTACTCATAATGATAACAAAGGAATAATCGAATCAACCATATTATTAACATCATACTGATAAACACATACTATTGTAAATATAACGAGAATACCTACCCATAATGGTTCCTTTTTTGGCTGGCGCCTTTTCGTTGCAGCCATGGCCTCCGCCACAGCATGTATCTGTAAGGAGGAGCCAGGGTCGAGCCCATGTCTAGCGACAATGCTTAGGGTTTAGGGTTTAGGGTTTGGGGTTTGGAGGTTGGGGTTTAGGGAGGTAACATGGGCTGGGCCCTGGGAGAGAGAATCCACTTTGAAACGTGCTGATTGAAAACTTCAGCTGGGCCATTTAGCCAACACAGAAACACAAAGATTCTGGAGCCGTTTATTGTAAACGACTGCCAGTACGCCATTAGGCCATATCATCAGGCTATACATCAGGACGAGCAGACAGCATTGAAGGTTGCATTGGCCACTGTGCCTCACCAATTCCAGTATACAACCCTGCCATCTTTGTAGAATCGAAGTCTGCGCCTGCAAGCTTTGTATCCGAGCTTGTCATTCGGATCTGTGGACAAGCAGTACCACCCGCCATTTGGGACACCCCAATCCCCTTGCCAGTTGGGCTTGGGGTCGCACACGCCGGCGACGCAGGTCGCGTGCGCTCGAAGCTTGACAAAGTCGAGAGCACCAGCGTCATCCGTCTCGGTCTCCAGCTCAATGGCATCAAAGTTGTCCCAAGTTATTCCCTGTGGAGAGGCAATAACCTCGACAAAGGTGGATGTATGCTGAGAAGCAAACCAGCCACCGGAACCATCCCAATGACGGCAATCACCTCAGCGAAAACTGGAAACAAACGGGCAGTAGCAAACTACTACATGCAGTAGCGACCCTAACGCATCATCCTTGTGATCGAAGTTGTCGGCATTTGGGTGAAATCTTGTTGAACCAATTACGCAGTAAGTAGGGGGAGGGTCAGCAGCATCAACGCAGGTAAGAACGCCTGCGAACTGTAGCAGTGTGTAAGGATCTGGGGAATGGTGTGGCGCTGCTGCGATGAATGTGAGACGCGCCACTTACCGCTGTCGCTTCTTCTGCTCGGATACTTACACACTGCCACAGTTCACCGGGCATTTTTGCCATATCTTACGGTGTACGAGCAGCCAGTAGTTACCACCCAAAGACACACAGAGACGCACAGGGATATGCATTCAGACACACAAGGTCACAAAGAAGAACACAAGCCCCGTGAATCATGTTTTTGGGGTTTTTGGTACCAAGGAGGTCATGAGTGAACCCCAGATCTTAGAAGTGCGGCATTTCATGTTCGTGGAACGTTTTTAGGGTGGGATCACGTCTCGCCGCCGGCGAGGAAAGAGATGAAATGCACGAAGGCTACACCCAACCTGGAAATGAACGCGCACCACCGCTACAGACAGCCAACACAATCCCAGGGGAGCCTCATATTGGCTTGTGCTGAGCGCAGGGAAGCTCAAACAACTGCGGTTTGGGGTTTAGGGTTTAGAGTTTAGGGTTTAGGGTTTAGGGTTTAGGGTTTACAGTAGGGTTTAGGGTTTAGGATCCGAGTGACCTGACTGCGGTCCATACTCACGAAACCAAGGTGAAAATCGACTTTGCGTGGAGCTCACCGCCCGCGCCTTGATTGCAGAGTAGTTGGTCACGCAATGTGGCGGGTCGTGACTTTGATGACAGCCGTTCGTGCACCATTCTATGGACACCTGCATCTGGAATTGGGTGTAAGGACCTTGGTCTGCCTCTGACAACTCTGTTTGCAGGAGCTCTTCGGCGTCCTGGTCTGGCGCTTGACCATCAGGATTGCCGCACACCTCTTCAACCTCCGGCCACGCATGTTCTAACGTCTCTCCAGCTCCCTTCACCTGTGGCGACTTGGGCACGCTAGAACGATGGAGTGATGTACGCACTGAGAGCAGCGTGTGGTCTTTGGCAGCACAACCTTCTGTTCCGCAGTGCTGTCCATTCGCCGCAGCTTGAACAAGCAGGATCGCAAGAAGGACATTGAACATGCTTGGTTCGTCCACCGGATCACAAGGAGTGTGCGGCTCTTGCTGTAGCTAGGCGCTAGCATCGTAAGCTTCCAAAAGGCTGCCGATTTGTACATGGGATGAAAGACTTAAAACAAGAAGAAGAAGCTCAAGCCCTAAACCAGAAACCCCTACAAATCAAGCAGCAGCTGGGGATCGACAAAAACGACCTTCTCAATACCCCTTGCAGTGCAGCCGAAACCCTAAACCCTAAACCCTAAACCCTAAACTCCAACCTAAACCCCGTAGGAATCCTCCACCACGGAGAGCTTCCTGTCCGAGGCGGCCATGACCTTATACAGCGGACGATCGTACCCCCTATTAGAATCCCTATTAAGGACTGTTACTTGGCTGCACTCAGGAGGGTAGCTATAAATTAAACTCTCAGCTGCCTTAATAAGAAACCCAATAAACCCAAGAAAAGGTAAGGATCTAAAGTTACAGTAAAGTACCACAAAGGTTAGAACATCCCGGAACCGTACCTCTCTTCGTCTTCGCCAATGTCTGCTGCAAACATGCAAGGCCTGGGAGCTCAGGAGCGATTCAAGAGACAGTCGCGCTGAGATTCCCTCCGGCTGAAGCAGGCAGAGGGCTTAGATCCCTAAACCCTAAACCCTAAACCCTAAACCCTAAACCCTAAACCCTAAACCCGGTCTGCAATCCCGCGCCTGAGTGCAGAAAGCCAAGGCCCAAACAATAAGGTCTAGGGTTCAGGGTTTCGGGTTGTTCGGGTTTAAGGTTCAGGGTTTCGGGATTTTAGGGCTTAGAGGGGCTAAAGTTCAGTTTATGGGGTACTCTTCACCCCCCTCCCCCCCCCCCCCCCCCCCCCCCCGCACCCCTGGGAGAAACCAAAAAAATCCACAAACTCCCGAGGACTCTGCAAAGTCAGCCGAGGGCTCCCAAGGCGTCCTCACCTAGGGCAGTTGGGTTTAGGGCTTAGGGTTTAGGGTTGAGGGTACACCCCCCCACCCGTAAGTCACTCAGCCTAAAGCTCCGAACAGACCAAACCCTAAACCCTAAACCCTAAACCCCAAACCCTAAACCCTAAACCCTAAACCCTAAACCTAAACCCTAAACCCTAAACCCCAAACATGAAGCAGGAAGCTCCAAGAATCTCCGAAACTCCGCAACTTCCCTGAGCCCGCGGCTCAGGGGCCGCCTGTGCCAAGCGAGTGCAGCGGGTGCGTTCTGCGGCTTAGGGTTTGTTTAGGGTTTAGGGTTTAGGGTTTAGGGTTTAGGGTTTAGGGTTTAGGGTTTAGGGTTTAGGGTTTAGGTTTTAGGTTTTAGGGATTGGGGTTTGGGGTTTAGGGTTTAGGGTTTAGGGTTTAGGGTTTGGGGTTTGGGGTTTAGGGTTTACAGGGTTTACAGGGTTTATAGGGTGTTTTTTGGGGTTTAGGGTATAGGGATCCTGAGCTGCTAGCGGCTTATCAAGAGGGGTGTCATGCACAATCCAGTACACATAGTCACTTCTCGACAAAATACGGTCCCTTTTCGGGTCCTAGTTATAAGGCGGCCCCTCTTATTCAGGGCGAAAGCACCTGCGCAGTTTGCTGAAAGGGATTCCGAAGATCCCGCCGGGCCGCCGCGGACCGAGCAGCAAGAACGAAAAACAGAATGCCTTTATACATAGGGTCATTAAGGGAGGGGGGCTCATGGGGGGTAGCTAGGGACCTGAGGGAAGCTTAGGGAGCCTTAGGGAGTAGTGGGGAGTCTTCGGGTTCATACCCCGCTTGAACCTGTTCCCTGAACAACCCTGGGAACCTGCTAGACTAGCCGACCCCAGACCCGAATAAACCCACCCAAGCCCCAAACCCAAAACCCCAAACCCGGAACCCCAAACCCTAAACCCTACACCCTAAACCCTTAACCCTAAACCCTAAACCCTACACCCTAAACCCCAACCCCTAAACCCCAAACCCTAAACCCCAAACCCTAAACCCTAAACCCGGGCGCGCGCCTGGAGATGGGCCACCTGAAACTCCACAGGCTTTGGCGCCTTCGGCTTTCGCGGCTCCTCCTCATACAAGACGGGGGCACACGACTGGCGGGTTCGTGGTATGTAGCTGAGCTTGAGTTTAGGGTTTAGGGTTTAGGGTTTAGGGTTTAGGGTTTAGGGTTTAGGGTTTAGGGTTTAGGGTTTAGGGTTTAGGGTTTAGGGTTTAGGGTTTAGGGTTTAGGGTTTAGGGTTTAGGGTTTAGGGTTTAGGGTTGAGGGATGGGCAAAGGAGGGCTTCGGGCGTAGGATAAGCAGCGATGGTTAGAAGCGTTTGTATGCCTATGTGGCTTTCCTATAGCTACCAGTGAACCTTCAAGTACAGGTCAGGCAACCCCTCCCCGAACTCCCGAAACCCCAAGGTTTAGGGTTTTGGGCTTGGGGTGTGGGGCTTCGGGTTTGGGGTTAGGCCCTAAACCTGAACCACCTGAAACCCAGAAACCTCAGTTTTCGGGCAGGGAGCCCAATCCCATTCCCCCAAAGCGCTAAGCTCCAAACCCTCAACACTAAACCTTAAACCCTAAACCCGAATCCCCGCGCTGTGAGGGGCCAAGCGGTTCCAGGCTGAGCCTCTAGAGTTTTGGAGGGGCTCACGCGGGCTCAGGGCTGTAGGATTCAGGGTTCTGGGTTGAAAGGTTGGAATGTTCAGTTTCAGGGTTAATGCTAAGGTTGGGATGTTCCCCCGTATGCTCACAGTCCTTAATGGGGACTGTAATCGGGGGTTACTAGAATCCCTACTAAGGACCGTTCGCCTCTGGGGAAAAAACCCCACGGTTTAGGGGACTCCCCTCCTCCTCTCCCTCGAAGGGGACGTTCATGAGGCTGGCAGGCTGGCGAGCGGACACGTGGCCGCGGGGCTTAGGCTTTGGGAGGCTTCGGAGGCTGCGCGGCCACGAAACAGGCTCAAGGAGTGCGCAACATGCTCGGACAAGCTCTAGGAGCAAGGTCCTCCCCTGCAACCCCAAAAATCTTAGAAGCCCAAACGCCTGAAACGCTTGGGGTACGTCGCCGCAGGCTCCGGTGAACCCAGCTGGCTTCAACGATCTATCATAGCGCATCCGCTGCTCTTATCTCTAGAGTCCATCCTCCTAAATGGCTCGAGGTCACGTCGAGTGCTACAGCGAAAGCCATCGGGTCGTTTCCCCTCCCCCACCAGACCAAAAATAGTAATAATAATTTTTATAATAATGATGATAATAATAATAATAGTAACAATAATAATGATAATAATAATAATAGTAATAATAAGAAGAAGAAGAATCATAATAAGAATCATAATAAGAATAAGAATAAGAATAAGAATAAGAATAATAATAGTAATAATAATCGATACGAGCTGTTGCACAGTTCCGGCTATGAATGATCCGAAGCCCAGGGCCGCCTGTCTCCCACCCAGGGTGATGTTCTTTCCATCCATCTAAGAATACTTCAATGTACCCCAACCCCGTACCCCCTTACCTCAAAAAGGACCATACAAGTCATATAAGGGAGTCAACACGGCCTAAAGGGGAGGATTTTCACGTACCTCGAAACTCTTTGAAAAAGGGTATGCCCGCTGCCCGGTATGCCCAAGGGGTATGTTGGATATTTCCTACAGTCCGGTGCAGGGTATGCTCGCTATTGCTCGCTGTCCCGCCACACGCCGCAGGCTTGTGTTTATCATCCATCCAGCACGGCGCGGCGCTGTATATGTTTTTGTATCCCAGCAGGGTGTGGCTGCGTGCGGCGCACGATTCCTACGCCCTGGAAAATCAGCCACACAGCTGGAGACCGTCCTGAGACAACCTCTTCCCACACGCCCGCTGTACAGCAGAAACCAGCTTGGCTTGGCCACCAGGAGCCATGCCCTGTTCGTGCAAGAGCAACCTCACAGGCAGCCGAGCTAGCGTTCCCATGGTCCATGAATTATCTAGCAGGCTTTGTTGCAGCCTGCCGTGATTGATCCTCAAGTAGCTTTCTCAAAATCCTGGCTCCAACTCTTCATCTGCTCGCCAACCTGCAAAACTTCAGGGCGACCAGAGGGAGCTTCAAGGAGCTCAGGGTTTAAGGTAGGGTTCAGAACTAGGGTTTTGGGGATTTAGGGTTTCGGATTTAGGGTTTAGGGTTTAGGGCTAGGGTTTAGGGCTTAGGGTTTAGGGTTTAGGGTCTAGGGTTTCGAGCCTTGAGGTTCCTTCGTGACTTGGAGGCGCCTGCGCCAACAGCGTGCCCGGCTTCGGCGGCCACGAGTTTCCCAAGGCCGCCTCGACGGCCTGGCGCCGCTCGCCCTTCCACCCTCCACCCAAAAGGGGTTTAGGGTTTAGGGTTTAGGGTTTAGGGTTTAGGGTTTAGGGTTTAGGGTTTAGGGTTTCGGGTTTCGGGTTTCGGGTTTCGGGTTTAGGGTTTAGGGTTTAACCCTAGGCTTCACTCGCGCACAAGGGATCCTGAGGCCCGCACCTGTCGCCGAGAGACTTCCAGAAGCCGAGCCTGCCCAGGTTGAGGGTTTCAGGGTTTGAGGGTCTGAGGGTTTAGGGTTTAGGGTTTTGGGGTTTGGGGTTTAGGGTTTAGGGTTTAGCGTTTAGGGTTTAGGATATTTTACCCTGAACCATACAACCCTCATCAATCGAAAAAGCCCGAAAACCATCACTGAACCATTTTTCGATCTCGAGCTGTTTACACCTTATCCCCCCCTAACCCTAAACCCTAAACCCTAAACCCCAGACCCTAAACCCTAAACCCCGAACCCTAACCCCTAGCCCTAAACCCGAAACCGTAAATCCTAAACCCTAAACCCTGAACCCTAAACCCTAAACCCTAAAACCTAAACCCTAAACCCTAAACCCTAAACCCTAAACCCTGCCCACCCGCTGGCGGCCTCCCGGAAGCTTAAGTCCACATTGGGCTCCGCAAGGACACCTGCATCAGGGTTTAGGGTTTTGGGGTTTAGGGTTTAGGGTTTAGGGCTTAGGGTTTAGGGTTTAGGGTTTAGGGTTTAGGGCTAAGGGCTTAGGGCTTAGGGCTTAGGGCTTAAAGGGGAGGAGGAGAGAAAGCTCACCTTGGGTACCCCTTTCCCTGCATGCGAGCTCTTAGATGCGTCCACAGGCAGGTACCATGATCGAAACCCTACACCCTAAACCCTAAACCCTAAACCCTAAACCCTAAACCCTAAACCCCAAACCTTAAGCGGTTTCGTTGCAAAACAGCCCACCACCCGCTGGCACCTTCCGCGAAAGTGTCATTCGTGAAGTCGCTGATGGCAATCTTGCCCTCAGCCTTCCGCTGGCCTATCACGCTGCCAGGTTGCTTTAGGGGTTTAGGGTTTAGGGTTTAGGGTTTAGGGTTTAGGGTTTAGGGTTTAGGGTTTAGGGTTTAGGGTTTAGGGTTTAGGGTTTAGGGGCTCCGGATCTAGGTCGAGCACCCTAAGCCCCAAACCCCAAACACCAAACCCTGAGCCCGAAACCCTGAACCCGAAATCCTAAACGCTAAACCCGAAACCCCAAACAGGAAAATCCAAACCCTACAACAACTCGCTCTGCCTGACGAGTCCATCCATTTGAACTCGAACTTCACCTTCGCCAGCAGCTGGGTTTAGGGTTTAGGGTATAGGATTTAAGGTCTAGGGTGAGGTTTTAGGGTTTAGGGTTTAGGGTTTAGGGGTTTAGGGTTTTGGGTTTAGGGTTAGGGATTTTTAGGGCTCAGGGATTTTTAGGGCTTAGGGATTTTTAGGGGTTGAGGGCTTCGGGCTTCAAAACCCTAAACCCTAAACCCCAAGCCCTAAACCCTAAACCCTAAACCCTAAAGGCCTGAAAGTTGAGATCGAAGATGTGGCGCATCTTGCCACGTATGACGGGCTTGGAGGCCTGCCAGGGTAGAAGGAGGGGCCCCCAGAAGGGACCCTTCGTCGTATTCCCCTACATAACCTACTATATATATATATATATACATGTATACATATGCATATATATATATATAACTCTATATATATATATGTATATATACATGTATACATATGCAGATATATATATATATATATACGTAGTATAGTCCCTTCATACCTAAGTAGCCCCTAGGTAACCTCCAAATAACCCCTAAGCTCCTGATTAGGGTCCCTCCTTTAGTCCTCTTGAGCCTCCTGAACCTCATAAACCCCAAACCCCTGAACCTCCTAAACCTCCTGACCTTCTAGACCTCCTAGACCTCATAAACCCCAAACCCTACACCCTCAACCCTAAACCCTAAACTCGACTCCCCATCTCCCCCCCCTCTTCAGCCTCTTATCCTGCCACTCTCCGGGGAAATTGGGTGTTTCCGGTCTCTTGCCCAAGAATGCTCACAGAGGATGCCAACCTTATGTCTGAATTTAACTCTGCTTTCGGGCTTAGGGTTCAGGGTTTTGGGCTTAGAGCTTTGGGTCTTGGGGTAGAGGGGGTGAGGGTTTGGATTTAGGCTTGCGCAAGAACTGTTCGCCATATCGACAACCCATCCCAAAACAAATTCGGAGCCCAGTACTCTCCCTAAACCCCAAACCCCAAACCCCAAACCCCAAACCCCAAACCCCAAACCCTAAACCCTACATGGTTTAGGGTTCAAGGGCTGGTCCTGGGGGATGAATGGCTTTGAGGATTTCTTGGCGCGTTTCGGGACCTTTGGGACGGGCTTAAGGTCTCGCCTTGCTTGGGCTAAGGCCTCAAGGGCTTCACCCTAAACCCTAAACCCTACACCCTACATCCTAAACTCTACACCCTAAACCCTAGACCTCTTAGTTTTTTTTTTTTTTTTTTTTTTGGGGGGGGGGGTGGGTTGGAGTGCTTGGAGGGTGTCTTCGGCTCCCATGAATCCCGCCTCGCCCTCCACGGCTTCCACCGGGGATGCACTGAGGACCTAAAAGGGTTTAGGGTTTAGGGTTTAGGGTTTAGGGTTTCGGGTTTAGGGTTTAGGGTTTCGGGTTTTGGGATTTTGGGATTTTGGGTGCAAGACTTAGGGATTTAGGGTTTCGGGTTTAGGGATTTAGGAGTTGAAGTTTAGGGTTTCGGGTTTAGCGTTCAGGAATTTAAGGATGAATTAGGGCTTCGGGTTCAAGGATTTCGGGTTTAGGGATTATGGATTTCGGGTTTAAGGCTTAGGGTTTAAGGTGTAGGGATTTAGGGATTTGGGAATTTAAGGTTTAGGGATTTCAGGGTTTAGGGCTTAACGGCTTTGGGATTTTTGGGCTCCAGGAATGCTCAGGATTTCGGGGTTATAGGGCTCAGGGTTTAGTAGCCCACGTCAGGCCGGAGGTCCCCCCCAAAGCTCCGCGCAGAATGCACCCAAACCATGAACCCTTAAACCCTGAACCCTAAACCCTAAACCCCAAGGCCCCGGCGCCACCAGCCGCCTCCACGTCTGCGAAACTCTTGAGCGCCTCCCGGAGACCCTTCTGGGCGAATTCGGTGACCTCATTGGGGGTGGGGGATGTTCTTAGACGAACTTGGGGTTTAGGGTTTAGGGTTTGGGTTTAGGGTTTAGGGTTTAGGGTTTAGGGTTTAGGGTTTGGGGTTTAGGGTCTAGGGTTTAGGGTGTCCTCAGTTAAGGACTGTTAGCATAAGGGAGAACATCCCAGTCATCGGGGTGTTGAGGGTTTAGGGTTTCTAGGGTTTTGGGGGTGTTTCTTCCCTTCTCGACGGATTCTGTGGTCTCATTTTGGGTGTTGAGGGTTTAGGGTTTGGTTTCAGGGTTTTAGGGTTTAGGGTTTGAGGGGTTTGGGGTTTGAGGGTTTAAGGGCTTTAGGGTTTTGGGGTTTAGGGCTTTGGGGCTTGATGGTTTGATGGCTTTAGAGCTGTTAAGGTTTTAGGGTTCTTGGATTTTAGGGCTTGGAACTGTAGGGGTCGTGAAGGAACCCCCTCCCCTTCATACTAGCCCCCTCTAATTTCACACATTCCCACCGTACTCCATTGTTAACAGGGCCACAGATGTCGTCCGGGGCTTTCGAGTTTGGAAGACTTAGGGTGTAGGGTTTAGGGTTGAGGGTTGAGGGTTTAGGGTTGAGGGTTGAGGGTTGAGGGTTGAGAGTTGAGGGTTGAGGGTTGAGGGTTGAAGGTTAAGGGCGCAAGACACCGAGGTACCGGGCATCTTTCTCCTCCCAGGTCCCGGCGGCGTTCCAGGCCGAACCTGCCTGGGTCAGAAACCCCTGGTTCTTTCTAGGGAATGAGGGTTTAGGGTTTAGGATTTAAGGAATAAGGGCCCTAGATTCACCCTCTAAGGGACTACATAGGAACCTCATTCCCTCATTCCGTACTAAGAACCAGTTTAGGGTTTAGGGTTTGTTTAGGGATTTGCGGGTTTTAGGGTTTAGGGGTTTAGGGGTTTAGGGCTTAGGGCGTAGGGTTTAGGGTTCATTGATCCAAACTGTTCCAAGAGGTTATAGGGTTTCGGGCTGACAGGTCGTGGATGGTTTAGGGTTTAGGGTTTTGGGTTTAGGGTTCAGGGTTCAGGGTTTAGGGTTTAGGGTTTAGGGTTTGGGGTTTAGGGTTTAGGGTGTAGGGTGTAGGGTTTAGGGTTTAGGGTCCAGGATGTAGGGTTTATAGGGATTATAGGGTTTATAGGGCTTATAGGATTTATAGGGTTTATAGGGTTTATAGGGTTTATAGTGTTTATTCGGGTTTATAGGGTTTATAGTGTTTGTAGGGTTTATAGGGCTTATAGGGTTTATAGGGTTTATAGGGTTTATAGGGTTTATAGGGTTTATAGGGTTTATAGGGTTTACAGGGTTTATAGGGTTTATAGGGTTTATAGGGTTTACAGGGTTTATAGGGCTTATAGGGTTTATAGGGTTTATAGGGTTTAAGGTTTAGAGCTACATCGCCCTTTAGAGGGTTTGGGTTCGGGTTCCGGTCATCCACCACGAAAGCCGGCTGTGGGAGGCCTTCGCAGGCGACGAGTCTTCCGTGGGAGCTTCCACCTCCCGTCGTGTAGGCGTTTAGGGTTTAGGGTTTAGGGTCTAGGGTTTAGGGTTTAGGGTTCAAGGCTGTCGATTTAAGGTTTAGGGTCAAGCAACAGACACGCAGGAAGTCCGTCCACTTCGAGCGTCCAGTGCATCCTGCCCCGGTGGCCTGCGAACCTCCCCGCCTTGGTTGAAGCCCTAAATCCCTAAACCCTAAACCCTAAATCCTAAACCCTAAACCCCAAGCCTAAACCCTAAACCCCTACACCCTAACAACCAAAACCGTGTTTTGTGCATTCTCCGCCGCCTTGGCCTCCACCTGAACCGGCTTGAACTCCTCAGTCGCTTGCGAAACAACGCAAAACAAAGCAAAACACACACTTGGGGTTTAGGGTTTAGGGTTTAGGGTTTAGGGTTTGGGGTTTAGGGTTTAGGGTTTAGGGTTTAGGGTTTAGGGTTTAGGGTCTGGGGTTGCTGTTCGACCTTGAGCTTTAAAAAAAAATCGACCCGTGCACATGGACGGCGGTCCTTCTTGGGCTCCTCCGTGGGCTTCCACTCCCGATGCCGGTACCTCACCCTAAACCCTAAACCCCTAAACCCTAAACCCTAAACCTCAAACGGCATGCAGAGGGGAAGCTTGGGGAACCCTCCATGTGGACCAAGGCATCTGCCAGGTACCGACATCATCATCGTCGTTGTCCACCACCCGGTCCTCTTTGGCCGGCCGCTTGGCTTCCGAGGCGGGCGCCTTCTTCGGGGCGGCCTCACACTGCAATGTTTAGGGTTTAGGGTTTAGGGTTTAGGGTTTAGGGTTTAGGGTTTAGGGTTTAGGGTTTAGGGTTTAGGGTTTAGGGTTTAGGGTTTAGGGTTTAGGGTTTAGGGTTTAGGGTTTTAGGGTTTTAGGGTTTTAGGCTTTAGGGGCTTCTGGGTGACTTTACGGGTCTATGCTTTAGGGCTTCTGGGGGGTGTTTATTCTGGGCACCGCACCTTGGCCTTCTCCTCGGGCTTCTTGCAGACTCTCTTGTGAAAGGACCAGTCATCCTTCTGACAGGCCGGTGAGCAGTAGGACCTCGTGCGAGAGATGCCCCAACTGAATGGCGGCTTGGTTATTGACTCATCAATATGATCCTCTTAGACCCCAGTAAGGGAAACATCCCAGACCCTAAACCCTAAACCCTGGTTAGAGCTTTGGAGGAACAACTCCCCTGTGTGGACCCATCCGAGACGCCGGCACCTTTTTGCAGACTCCGCATCGGAGCGGTTTCTGCACGTCCTCAGGGTTTGGGGTTGAGGGTTGAGCGTTCAGGGTTTAGGGTTCGGGTTTAGGGTTTAGGGTTTAGGGTTTAGGGTTTAGGGTTTAGGGTTTGGGGTTTGGGGTTTGGGGTTTAGGGTTTAGGGTTTAGGGTTTAGGGTTTAGGGTTTAGGGTTTAGGGTTTAGGGTTTAGGGTTTAGGGTTTAGGGTTTAGGGTTTAGGGTTTAGGTTTAGGGTTTAGGGTTGGGTTTTAGGGTTTAGGGTTAAGGGTTTAGGGTTTAGGGTTTAGGGTTTTAGGGTTTAGGGTTTATGGTTTAGGGTTTAGGGTTTAGGGTTTAGGGTTTAGGGTTTAGGGTTTAGGGTTTAGGGTTTAGGGTTTAGGGTTTAGGGTTTAGGGTTTAGGGTTTAGGGTTTAGGGTTTAGGGTTTAGGGTTTAGGGCCATGCAACATTCCGGATCATTCAACGACGCAAGAGGCGGCAGCAGCAAGAGGGGCGAGGGCTCCAAACCACACACCCTAAACCCTAAACCCTAAACCCTAAACCCCCAAACCCCAAACCCTAAACCCTGAACCCCAAACCCTAAACCCTAAACCCTAATACTTCGTGAACCCAGTCCTTGTGGCAGTTGTGGCAGTGAGGCTTCTCCGCCTCGGCCTTGGCCACAAGATGCTTCACGAGGGGTTTAGGGATTTGGGTTTAGGATTTAGGGTTTAGGGTTTGGGGTTTAGGATTTAGGGTGTAGGGTTTATTTAGGGTTTAGGGTTGAGGGTTGAGGGTTTAGGGGTTCGGGTTTCGGGTTTCGGTTTAGGGTTTAGGGTTTAGGGTTTAGGGTGTAGGGTTTAGGGTTTAGGGTTTAGGGTCTAGGGACCCTAAACCCTAAACTGTAGCCCTAAACCCGAAGCCCTACAAACCCTAAAAACCACAAAACGATTCATAACCCCAAAACCCCTAAAACCCTAGAGGCCGTACACACCCTAAAAGCCCGAAGAACCTTGGACCCTAAACCCTTACCCTAAACCCTCAACCCTGCGAGACCCTAAACCCTAAACCACCCCATTCATGGTAGTGCGGCCCCTACTTTAAACTCTAAACCCTAAACCCTAAACCCTGAAACCTAAACCTAAACCCTAAACCCTACATTCCTTTACGGATGCGAGAACTGGCCAAGCGCCGGTCCGGCTTCTCGGGAGCCTTCTCCGGCTTCTCGTCGTCAGAGTCCTCCAAGAAGTCAGGGTTTAGGGTTTACGTTTTAGGGTTTCGGGTTTCGGATTTGGGGTTTAGGGTTTGGGGTTTGGGGTTTAGGGTTTAGGGTTTAGGGTTTGGGGTTTAGGGTTTAGGGTTTAGGGTTTAGGGTGCAGGGACCCTCCATGGGTTTGGGGTCGCATGGTTGCCAAGGTCCTCGATCTTGTCGAACTTGGAGTAGTCGATTCCTGGATTCGGGAGGGGGCGTGGGGGGATGATCGTCTGCCACCCTAAACCCTAAACCCTCAAACCTAAACCCCTAAACCCTAAACCCCAAACCCTAAACCCTGAACCCCAAACCCTAAACCCTAAACCCCTACAACCCAAACCCTCAAGCCTAATCCCCTACACCCCAAACCCAAAACCCCAAACCCCAAACCCCAAACCCTAAACCCTAAACCCCAAACCCTAAACCCCAAACCCTAAACCCTAAACCCCAAACCCTAAACCCTAAACCCCAAACCCGAAACCCTAAAACCCAAACCCGAAACCCCAAACCCCAAACCCGAAACCCCAAACCCTAAACCCTAAACCCCAAACCCGAAACCCTAAACCCAAACCCGAAACCCTAAACCCCAAACCCGAAACCCCAAACCCCAAACCCTAAACCCTAAACCCCAAACCCGAAACCCCAAACCCCAAACCCTAAACCCTAAACCCCAAACCCGAAACCCCAAACCCCAAACCCGAAACCCCAAACCCTAAACCCCAAACCCGAAACCCTAAACCCCAAACCCTAAACCCCAAACCCGAAACCCTAAACCCCAAACCCTAAACCCCAAACCCGAAACCCCAAACCCTCGCATGGCCGCACCTCCCTTCTTTGGCGGCGACTCCACGTTTTGTGGAGCCTCAGAGGTCAAGGTGAACAGCTGAACCGATGAGGTTGTAGCTGGAGCATTTATTAGAGATTTAGGGTGTAGGGTTTAGGGTTTAGGGTTTAGGGTTTAGGGTTTAGGGTTTAGGGTTACAAAACGGCTGTACCAACGAGGCTGGAATATCTGATGTTTAATTAGGGTTTAGGGTTTAGGGTCAAAAGACTTGACATCTGGGCTGTGCACATACCCCGTCATCTTCTCGAGCTCCACACCACCTGGCGTTGTCACGAACCTCTTGCGGCTTTGTATGTGCGTTGACCTGGATAACCCTAAACCCTAAGCCCTAAACCCTACCCTACACCCTAAACCCTAAACCCTAATCCCTAAACCCTAAACCCTAGACCCTAAACCCTAACGTCACAAACGCAGGCGCCTCGGCAAAAAGAGCTGAAGCGAAAGCACCCAGGGTTGCCAGCGAGTTGTGATGGCTAGCTAGGTGAACCTAGTCTTAGTGCATGTTCGAGATGCTGCCAACGTCTCTTCAGCCAAGGTATCTTCACATGACTCGAATATTCGCCACATTCTGCCTAAGCTTTGGCTGCTGAGCACAGAAGCAAGTGATGCTTTCTACCACCATGTCTTTGCACTCTAGTTGTACGACCAACTCTCCCTTGATCAGCACAGAGGAATCGACATTACAAACTAGAGAAGGAAGAGGCCTGCAGGGGCAGCATGATTACAAGGGCGCCACACTGATCCCCAAGGAGCACCCTGCACGACACAGAGACTACAAAGACAAATGCGGTCGGCATGCTGCGAGTGTGTCGGAAGATCATCGGACTGCCGAAAGAAAACTTAACTACCGGCCCTCAGATCGGTGTAAGTCGCGGAAGTCCAGTAGGGGGGGTGGGGGTGGGCGGAGGGAGATGACTGAAGGGGGTGGGGGTGGAGAGGGTGTGGGGGGGGGGGGGGGCAAGCCATCACGCAAGATCGCGAGATCGGGACAAGGCTACTTGTTGTTTCGCCAAGTCAGAGCTTCCTTCGTAGGGGTTAATGAGGGCTTGGATTTAAGTTTTCTTACCCCCCTGCGGCTTCAAGCGGAGGGGGGGGGAGGACTACTCGCCAACAATCACGACAAGCCCTGTGAGCCTAGGGAGGCCAGGAAGATAGTTCAGGAGCAGACGTCAAGGAAAAATCTATGGCCTGGAGAGATGAAAGCAATCCATGATCCAGCGATAAGCCTCACGCCATTCCCTAGATAATAGGATTAGGGGGACCCTTGGGGATATGGACCCTCTGAATAAGGTCCCTGGTTTAAGAGGGCCAGAAGAGGGTTAAGAAGGGGTTCCCGTTTAAGGGTCCCCCTTATCCTACCTAGGATCCCTAGCTGCCCATGTTAACGCTGGTAGTGACAGTGCTGCGCCGCTGGACAGGTACCGCCCCACGTACTGCCTCTACCCGGCCTACCTTGAAGGTTCATGGGCAGCTACAAGTAGAGGTTCTTAAGAAACCCAAATAAGGTTGCAATCCATTAGCGGCCCTACATATAACTGCCCACCCCTCAACGAATGCTACGGTCCATACTCTTCTGTCCATCAACGCAGTCAAACTTTTTGCCTGGAGACCGCAGCGAATCCAAGAGTGAGCAGGCTTGGTTTTAAGACCTTCTGCCATAGCCGGACGCATTGACTACTCCTTGCCCTCGTCTCTCCCGGAATCCTCCTCCACCTTGATGAAGAGGTGTGTGCCTGTGTCGTGACAACGAACCTCTTAAACTGCACTCCAGGTGACTATGAGCTATGGCCATGTTTTGCCCTTGACACGTTCTTCGACAGGGACCACGTGAAAGTGCTGCAGCCTTGCACGACGCCCAAGAAGGGCTGTCGTTGTCATGCTGCCGGATGAATACAGGGCCTGCCATGCTACTCGACATGGAAAGGAGAGAGGACTGTTCGGCTGAGACTTCGGACGCCCATAAGGAAGCCACAAGTCCCAGAAAGCCCGGCGCTGAACCCCGTGGGCTTTCAGCCTTGCTGCTTGAGTGTGCCACTGCTGCTTCTGCAAAAGTACTCTGAGGCGTTTCAGGGCTGGGGGATTATGCTAAATCCCGGACCCTTAAATGCTGGGAAAGTTGCACCCTTAAGGCACCTTCTTTATGCCGAGCAGAGGGGTCCCAGGGCAGACGTGCGGCCGTCACGCGAGACAGGTGTCTGCAGAGTTTAGGGGTTTAGGACTCAATTGTCGCCATGGCTCCAGCACAACCTTGTTCTGCCGCCTGCTGTGCTTCGACTCACGCCAGACGAGGTGGCAACGGGTTTGGGCTCAGTGGGATACTTCGACCTGTATATGTAGGGTGCACCGAGATGGGGCTTGACGGCTATAGGAGCTGCTTCATTCCATTCCGGGCACCAGGGGCTTTGTCCCCAAAGGTCGCTCCGAATGGGCCGTCACCTTCAGGGACCATGGGAGCAAGAGGCACACCAGACAATCCCAGCGACCTGTCCTTACATGGTGCAAAGAGAAGGCGATGGGCTCCCGCAATGCTCCAGTCCCAGACGCACCGCGCGGCGCGCATCTGCCGCCGGCTGGAGGCCGGCGGCTTATCTGGCTGTGCAAAGGTCAACGGTGGCTATGAACGAGGGCCCACATGGGGGAAGGCCAGAACAGGTCCCCAACGACCACGCTGAGAAGGGATTCGCAGCAGCATGGATATTCGGGGATGCGAAGATGCATCCAGCAGCCTGGAGCTCTGAAGCGAGTCTTCAGCCGCTCTGGTCGGAGGATGCCGCCTGACCCTCAGGCCTGAACCTGGCCGGAATGGGTCAGGATGCGTCCTTTGCAGAGGGCCTGCCATCGTACTCAGCATGATCTGAAGTGATTGGTGGCTTATCTGGCTTGTCTGTGTGCAGAGGTCATGAAATTTATTAATCGGCAGGATTGTTGAACTTGGAACGCTTGCAGGCTGAGTGCAGCCCTTGGCCGCTAGCGCAAGCCTGAAAGCAGATCATGGTGGCCCGACCCTCACAGGCCAAGGGCCTTGGGTGGCAACTTACCAGAACGGCGGATGGGGCGGGCCAGAACGCATGCCTAACCTGGGAGTGAGACTATGCTGACAAGGGAGAGAAGTTGCCCTGTGTCCGCTCCGCCTCTTGGACCTAGATTGAAAAACCACTGTCAGGCAAAAATTTTGCACAGTCCATCCGCGAGGGGGATGGCAGGCACGGAGAGGGAACGTTGCTAGATGCGGAAGATCACCACCTCGCACCACAGATGTGACGAGGTTCCCAAGGTTTTGTTCCCAGTGTGCCGGCAATGCTGCCCCGGTGCACCGGCAAAATGACTTCGGCTGCGAGAGAGTATGTGAGCTTGCCCTGCAACTTGAACCCATGTCTTTCTTGGTGTTCCTGCTTTCAGTGAGTACGACAGGACATCTGCCCTTGGTGGTGTTCTTGCATCGATGCTTGAGCTAGTAGCAATCATGCTGCGGATACGACATGACGACACGCGCTGACTTGCTTTCTTGATTTGACTTCATGCTTTCAAAGTATATTGTCCTGAGATCTTTGCACTCGAGGCGAGCCTTTTCTGCAGCTTAGCGTGGCGTCGGCATACTGCGGCATACTCCGAGTCCGAGCCCGTGCTGGAGTCGAGGCTGCTCCATGCAGGGTTTCCGCAGGCCGACGTAGATAAGATCAAGGTGCACGTGAAGTCCTGCACGCCTGGATCGTCCGATGAGACGCCTTTGATGGCTGTCCTCGATACCTTGTTGGGAGCTCAGGCCTCGCTGGCTCAGAAAGCTCCGTGCCGTGTTTGATGAGTCGTACGCTGTGGCTACAAGCTCCGAGTCCGAGCCCGTGCTGGAGTCGAGGCTGCTCCATGCAGGCTTTCCGCAGGCCGACGTAGATAAGAGCAAGGTGCACGTGAAGTCCTTGCGCCAGCTTCCATTCGTGAGCTCCTACACGCCTGGATCGTCCGATGAAACACCTTTGATGGCTGTCCTCGATGCCATGTTGGGAGCACAGGCCTCGCTGGCTCAGAAAGCTCCGTGCCGTGTTTCATGAGTCCTTGCAGGCTCGGGGCAGCCCATAGCGCAAGCCTGAAGGCAGATCATGGTGGCCCGACGCTCACAGAGTGCGTGGCAAGTTGCTAGAACTACGGATGGGGCGGGCCAGAACACTTGCCTAAATAGGGGATGCGACTCGGTGCGACTATGCTGAGAAGGGAGAAGATGCCCCTGTGTCCGCCTCGCCTCTAACCTGGATTGAAAAATTGCAACAACTGTCAGGCCAATATTGCACAGTGGCCTCATCTGCAGGGTACACCATGGATGAAGATGCGTGTTCCAACGTGGGTCGCGCATCCAGCGGCCTGAAGCACCTGTGGGGCGAGTCTTCAGCAGCTCGCGCCGGAAACTCCCACAGGGCCAGCGCAAATCTCCACCCAGACAAACTCGGCATGGTCTGGAGTGCTCGGTGGGTTCTCTGGCTTATCTGTAAAGCACAAGAGCGGCGCTCACAGATGCCAAGGGTCTTGGGTGGCAAGTTACTAGAACTGCGGACGGGGCAGGCCAGAACACCTGATGTTGCACACTTGCTGCGTCTGCAAAGTACACCATGGACACAGATGCTCTCATGACTGACATGTCTGTTCCTGAAACTTTTCCTGAACCCTCAAAAACAAAACCTTCTGAAATTCCTGCAATGGTTGAAAACATCAAAGCTGCAAACGCGAATGTTCCTTTACTCTTGATCAACCTCACAGTAGCCTTAGCTTGTTCCTGGGTTCGGTGGTCTTTGAGCTCTTGTTTTCCTACGGGTTCGTTGTCTTCGGTTTGGAATCCTAGCCAATGCAAAAGAAGTTTGATACGTTTTCCTGACAAGGGCTTAGTTCCTATATCGGCGGTGCTGTCCTTGGTCCCTACCGGGTGCACGCTCTACTCCCTGCCGAGTGATGATACCTCGGGCTGCCGAAGAATCAAGATGCAAATGTGTAACACAACGTTTTCCTGTCAAGAACTGAACTGCTTCCTTCAACAAGATTGAGTCTGATGCTGCCGATGCTCCGGCGTAGTACTCTGCTTCACCAGAGCTGAGGGAGACTGTCTTCTGGCTTCGAGAGAAACTATAGATCACCTGTCCATCCAAAAATACGTTTCCTGAGCTGGTTGATCTACGAGTATCTTTCTTTCCTGCCCAATCACTGTCGCTGAATACCTCTAGAAGATGATACTCTTTGGGCTCTACTCCAGTGAAGTC